AGTAACTTAAGTAAATAAAAAAAAACATAGTCTAAATTTTATAGTAAGTAATAAAGTATATATAACACTTAAAAAATTTACTTTAAGTTGCCCTAGTTAAAAGCTTAACTACTAAATATATAAACTATACTCTATTATAGGCATAAAAAGACACTTATATTGCTTAAAGCTACTACTGTACATGCACATGCACAACGTCTTCTATATAGACTGCCTATAAAAGAAATTACTAATAGTGCTACTAAGCTAGCTTAAACTTAAAAAAAAGCTTATTAACATTAATAGTTACTTTAAATAGCTTATATAAGAAATTCTTAATAGCTGTCTCTACTACTGCTGCCTGCATTATAAGGTCTTTTAGGTAGCCTATAACTCTAACTCTACCTAGTACAACACCTAAGAGTTTATAAGAGCTCTGCATAAGGTAAAAGACTTTTATAATGCATATCTAAATAAACTAAGTCTTTTAGTATAGTTAGAAGCCTAGCTGTAAGTGTATAAAGCAAGAGAAGACCTAGAGGCAATAAGAAAGAATAACTAGCCTAAGGAACTTGCTAGTAGAGAGGACTATAATAGAGGCTAGAGAACACGCTATATATGTTATTATTATATGTAACTACAAACTTAGGGACAAGCCTGTCTTAGAGAAGAGTAATATAATAGTGCTACTTGTTAAGCTTTACTGCTAGTTATATAATTTTACTAAAAGTTAAGTAAGCGCGCTAGCGCTTTAGCGCTGCGTAAGCTTTTCTCTTGTAAAAACCCTTTACCTCCTTCACTCCCTATCCTAGTTTAGCTAAAATAGAGCTAACCTACTCTACCTTGCTTCCCTAGCTCTATACAGTAGTAGAGACAGTGCTTGTCATCACAGGTAGTATAAATAGCACTAAGAGTAAGCTTTTAGAGAAAGATAGAAGTGTATTATAAGAAAGACAAATTGCTGCTAAGCCTTACTTATTAGAATTTATGCTTATATACAAAGCACAGGTCATGTGACCTCTAAACAGGTTAGGGGAGGCTATACTAGCCTGTTCTAAAACATCTAGCTTTACATAAAGTAGCTATAAAAACTACACTAGTAGTTAGCTAGAAAGGCATAAAATAACTATAAAAAATAAAGTAGTTTAAAAATAAGTTATAAAAAAAGACTTATAATTTATCTTAAAAACTATATGTACTTTAAAATAAAAAACCTTTGCACACTCTAACTATTTAAAAACTAGTAGAAAAACCTATTAGCCTATATAAAGTATTTTAGGTATAAAAAGATAATTATAAACTTAAACTTTTAAAAAATATATATATACACTTTTAGTTTTATATTTTTAAGCTTAAGAAAGCTCTAAAAGAAATACCTTTATCTACTATAAAATAAAAAGATATTAAAGTAGAATATAAAGTTAAGCAAATAGTTAATATAAAATTAAATTTTTTAGTAAAAAAAAATAGCTTACTAGAAAAAACACATAAAAACTTATTAAGAATTTACTAAATACCTTATAGCTTTTTTAGAAGTATTAGAAAAAGCATCTAGCTAAAACTACCTAGAAGAAAGCTTCTTAGACTAAGAAGGCTCTCTAACAACACTACTAGATAGCTGCAATGTAGAAAGCTAACAACTCTATAACATAGCTAAGAAAGAGGTAAACTATAGGCTTTTACTTTTAGTGCTTTAATCTTGTTTAGTAATAATAAGTTGTTTTTTTAAATACTTTACTTTTTAATTCTTTAAAAGATCTAACTGTTTCTATAATTTAGACTCTTACACCTACATTAGTTAAAGCTGCTTAAGAGCCTTTTTTAACTTTTACTTTTAGCGCTTAAGAATTGCTTTCTACTAGGCACATATATTCTTTATCTTATAAAGTAACTGCTTTTACTCTTTCTCTAAACACTTCTAAGTGTAACAGCGCAGGCAAGACAATGGGTCCGAATGCGGTGGGAGTCTACTCAGAGGCATATAGGAGTGCGTGGGGACTCTAAACCTAGGAATGCCATTAACACCTATAGGCCTTATATAAAAGGATATTAGAAAACTACTAAGCTAGCTACAGAGGCAAGGTGCAACTAAATACATAAGGGAATAGGGGTAACTGTAGGGGACTAGGTCGAGTCATGGTCGGGGCCGATACAGGGACCCTTTAGATAGGATCTAAGCGACCTGAGATGGAACAATTTGTAGAATCGTTACACTAAGCAGGGTAAAAATAAAGATGTTATTGTAACTTCTCTTTTAAACCACTCTACACACTTATTTAATAACAAGGTTATATATAGAAAAACTAAAAAAAATAGTAAAGGCTACATAAACACATTTTTATATAGTAAAAAGAACTAAGATAAGCAGTAGCATAATAATAATAAGCATAAGCAAACTAATAAGGCATTATTAGGATTAAGAAAATTAGACATTAAGAAAGCATTTATAAATAAGCACTTACTAGATATAAGAGAACTCTAATACTTATAATAGCGTAAGCAGAACAGCAAGAACACTAATAGAAAAAAAGCCTACATGTTATAACCTATAATTAGGCTGTAAGCTACTACCTTAGAATGCTCTACTATTTAAATAAATAAAAATAGAGCCCTTAAGTTACTTTATCTAAAAAAGAGTTACATAACCTAATAGATAAGAAATAGACAGCTGTAGTAGGCTAGCTAGCAGGCAAATGCAGCTTTTAATAGAAAACTAGAAAAGAAGCGCAAGCAAGCGCAAGTGCGCGCAGGTGCGCGTAGGCAATTACTTGCAATTGCTTACAATCACTTGCAATTATCTGTAATCACTCTCTAGAACTTTGTGTATATAGTTAAAACAAAGAGCTATATATATAAAGTGTAATTAAAGTTTAGTTTATTTATTATATAAACTAAGTAGCATTACTACTTTACAGTAAGCGTAATACTATTTGTATATTTTACACTATATATACCTCTAATCCTGTCTACAGACTGTTTAACCTAAGCACCTTATACTGCTGTCATAGAGCAAACCACAGTCAGCCGCCTCTCTTCTTTGCCTAAGCTCGGTCTACACAGACTGTACACCTGTTGTTGACTCTGCCCTCTCTACCAACCCCCTTCTTTATCCTAGGCCTAGCGTACTACTAGAGTAAACTAGTAGTAGAGATTGTAACAGTAACTTACTAAAATATTGTAGCTTTTTATTTATCTACCTTTACCTTTTTAGCTTTAGTAAGAGCTTGTAAAAAATAGGGTATACACTTCGCAATCAAGAGGTGTATTAACTAACAAGGGCGTGACTGTAACATAGGAGTACAATTAGTACCCGCCTAATTTCTAAGGCGATCCTCTGCTATCTAAAGGGAGTTTCTACAACTAGCTATATACTTCTTTAGAGAGCCAGGCACGGCAGCGCTGGTAGCGACAAATCTAGTATGCTGTAGGTCCAGTTTAAAGTATTACCTGTCTAGGATGCCCAGCTTTTAGGCGAGGTAGGCGTTGTCTAGAAAGTGCAGGGTTAACGGCACAGTTTAGGAGTTGTCTAGGACTGCCTAGTGCGGTCTAGGCTAGTCTATGTCAGCCTAGGAAATACTTAGATAGCTGGTTGTTACAGAGCTTTTTATTTAAAAGCTATAACTTAAGCTATATAAGTCTACTTTATTTCTTTAAGAACATTTTTACAGTTATAATCTAGCTAGTTTTAGGCCTATTTAGAAATAAAAGCATTATAAAAACTTTTTTCTAAAGGCACTCTACACACTTGTTTAATAATAAAGATAAAATGTAGTTAGTTTTAGATAAATAATAAAAACTATAAGAACGCATCTTTATATAATAAAAAGAATTAAGATAGTAGACAGTACACTTGCAACAGAACTAAGAATAAAAGCAGAGTATAGTTAGGACTATAAAAAATAGATATAAAGAAAAGGTTTATAAAAAAACACTTATAAGTTATAACAACTTTCTAACACTTACAGTAGTGTAGACAAGGTGGCAAGAACCTGCTAGAGAGAAAAGGCTGTGTGTTACAGTCTCTAAGTAGACTATAAGCAAGTGTTTGCTAGCTAACATTTTAGGTAGAGACAGTTAGTAGAACTTCTTTATAGTAGTATAACAAGAATAGCACTTAAGGAAGCTATGTAACATTCTAGAAGATCTAGGGAAACCTAGATAGAGATAGGAAGCTTAGCAAAGGTGCATGCGCTAAGGGAAATGCATGCAGTGTATACAAACCTTAAGTATATAGTCTTAATTCTAACTATTATTAGAGGGTTGTAGTTAACATTTTATCTTATCTTTACATAGACAGAGTAGTATTAGTAGTTTACAAAGACACTATACTATTAAATATTCTACACTATATATTTACTCTAATTTTATCTTTTTAAGATTGTTTCCCCTGCTTCTTATATAGCAGCCAGAGGCAAACCACAACAGGCCCCAACAAGAAACTCCACAGCCCTACGTATCCAGCCACCTAGACTGTACACCCGTGTGTCTGTCTACTCTCTCTCTCTCCCTTCACACCAACCACACCCCACGGCCCGAGCATTGAACCCACACGTACTCATTAGCGCGTGCCTAGTAAGTTGAGGGATGTCATCTCACTATTAGTATGTAGAAAGATAGGAGGGGGTTGCAAGATAAGTACCGGTACCTAACCCTAAACCCCCCCCCCTCTCTCCTAGAGAACCGGGGGAGCGCCCAAAATGGCAGCAGGAGCAAATTCGAATATATTTGAGACTCTATCGTCACTTGCATCACCTCCATCGAGCCGACCTACCTCGCCGCCGCCATCGAACACGTATACACACCGAACCGCTTCACCGTCACCGTCTTACCCATGCCGAACCGATTCACCATCATCGTCCAACGCGTCGCAATCCTTCCGAACAATTCGGTCACGTCACACCATGTTCCCATCTACATGGAAATGCGTAGCTGCATCCCCAACGCAGCTAGCAACATGCGGCTTCATATACGCGGAAGAGAATGAGGATTAAGAATATATATGTACCTGCTTAATCTGCGAAATGGAGATTATGTTACCCTACAAAGCCGCAAAACTAAGCAACAAAGATCTGCTTAAGTTCCATGAGCAAGACTGTCTATTAGCGGATACAATACTAGATTTTCTCAGCTACTGAGACATCAACACTGCCCCTGCCGCTACTCCTTAAAGCCCTCAAACGACACCGACAGCTGGACCGCCGTCTACCTCTTCTTCCAACCTGTCCCCATCTCAGCAGTCTGAGTCACGTCCGCCGACACGCTCATCGCCACCTCACCCACCGTCGCCGCGCCCATCGTCACCACACCAACCACTGCCACGCCCATCGCCGTCCTACCCACCGCCATCGCGCATACCTTCTTAGCGGTCATATGCAAGTGTGGCTGCTAGTACGCCATCCAGCCCCAGCAAAAACACCTCGCCATCGCGCATACCTTCTCAGCGGTCATATGCAAGTGTGGCTGCTAGTACGCCATCCAGCCCCAGCAAAAACACCTCGCCGCCACCATTCCCCTCACACTCATGTCACCCTCTCCAACCCTTAGCATCTAAACCACTACCCCCTACTCTAAAAGCCAGAACATCAAGCCCAAAAACTACGCCGCCCCACCGTGGCTCGCCACATTAATCGTCGCCTGTCCTCTCTGTCCACGACCTAGAACTCCGGTTCTAGAGCAACCAGAACCCTTTTTAAAACCCACACTGTTGTTACCTATCACAAACAAGGCCCACCGCCGCCGTTGCACAGCTGCTGCACGCGATTGCAGAACTCCTAGGATCTTGCAACTTTAAGAATAATCCTACACTATACTAACACTTGTACGCCAGCAGGTTCTGCTTTATTTGCTGACAAAGGGACACTGAACACTTGGAGGAGAGAGCCTTAAGAATACTTGCTACTTACTAAATACGAGAGGTATAGGAGAGTTCGCTAGGAAAATACAGAGAGATAGATATTTTACATGTATGGGCTATTAGGAGGTATGCCATTACTAAGGAATTGCTTATGTAATAAACTACTAGTGCCCTCTAGGCTAGAGCCGGGCGTAATAAAGACATCCATCCATCCTAGTAAGTTGAAATTGTAACATAGGCTTAGTATTAATTTTTCTATTCTATTTCTTAACGTATATCATTGTGAAGGTCGATAGAGACAAAATGTTACAAGATGCACATAACAAGCCATACTAAGAAGAGGTTTCCTGCACATATTAAGTAGATACACTGTTCTAATTATAACGTACTTCACAGGCGAGTTGCTCACACACCTAAGTCGCTTACTTTTGCCAAGACCCCACCCTAACAAACTCTATTATAGCCTATAACAACCTACTCTAGCACTATATAGTACAGTACAGCCTAGAATATTATTTAGATACTACTTCTACTTCTTACTTACATATTTATGTGTTATGCCTAGTCTAATTACACTATTTATAGCGCCTTTAGAATAGCTTACTTACTTTAGCTTACACCTACTTTTTTACCTTTTTTTTATTACTGTGTGCTTTAAACTTCTTTAAAGCTATTAAGTGTAAGCTTTTTTAAATTATTAAAGTTTTTTTACTTTTTTTTACTTTCTTTTATATAATTTATGTTATGTAGTAGCCTTATTAGCTACTTAAAGCTTAGTAATTTTTTATTATACTAATACTAGCTTATATATAATTATTACTACTTTTTTTAAACTTTTTTTAAACTTTTTAACTATAAAAGTTAGTAAACTATTTATATACTTTTAAATTTTTATTTTTATAAGTATTAATTATAACTTAAGTTTTAAAGTATTACTTAAAGTTTATAACTACTAGGGCTTATTATATATAAGTAGTAGTAGTAATAAAGTGCATAACTTTATATTAAAGCTTATTATAACTTATTATAAGTTAAAAAAAACTAATTTAGCGCTTTAAAACTTTTTTTAAATATTACTAAAAGTAATTATATGTCACAGTATCCTCCCCGGATCCCAGACATAACTGTATCGGACGCGTACTAGAGTATTATCGGTGCACGTCTGACACGAACACGACACGACACAGACATGAACTTAAGCACAAACCGCCTTAACACTAACTAAACCTAGAACAGGCTTAATTTATACTTAAAGTGCTTAGACTTCTAAGCTAAGTATTTAATTACTAATTTCCTTCTAAACCTTCCTATTCCTTACACAACGTCTTGTACCTACTATAATACCTTACGTAGTAATTAAACTAGACCTCTGTAAAGCTCTATAACCTTACTTGTGCACAATTATAACATTACGTTGTGTTAAAACCCTAGCTAAGAATAGCCTCTAAATCTAATTTAATAAGCTTAGTACTTATATAACTCTAAGCTATTAGAGTAAGCTAAGAAGCCTTCTAAAAAGTGCTTACTCTATAAAAAAGCTGCTATGTTGCAAGCTTTAAAGCTTTTTAAAAGGACTTTAAAGAACAGCTTTATGTTATTAAGCAGTCTGTTTCTGCCTTAACTCCTGTTATAGTAGTAGGAACTAAGAACTTACTAGCCTTAAAGCTTACCTAGAAGTCTAGAGATAGCTTAACTCCTTTCTACCTAACGCTGCCTACAACCTGTAACCCCTCTAACCTAGTAATAAAATCTAACTAACTCCCTAATCCCCTACTGTTTAACAGAAAATAGAAAGACCTACCTTCCTTCCTACACAAGCTCTAATATAAACTTAAAGGAAACATAGACTAATTCCCCTCTAAACACTTCTAGTTACTATACGCCTACTCTTAACTTAACTACAACATAACAGCCTTAATTAACTTACTAATAAATAAAAATATTATTAACTTAAATTAATTTATAGCGTTCCTGTAAGTAACTTATAAAGACCTAAATAAAAAGTTAACAGCCCTAAGTTGCCTAAACACTCTATAATAAGAAAAGAAAAGCTTTACTTTATACTTTACTAAGTTCTACTAACTTACATCTAATACAGGCCTAAATAAGATAGGTTTAATTATAGCCTTATGTAACTCCCTCTTAACTAAACTGCAACGCGCTATAGTAGGAGAACCCCTTCTAAACAACCTTAACGCGTATGCAAACCTAATTGCTACCTATAATAATAACATAAGGTTCCTCTCTGTACAAGCCCTAATACGCCCCTAAACTAGCGCAGTTGCAAATAAGGACCCTAACATAATAAAAATTAATTTAAATTATACTCTAGTTAGTTCTAAAAAGCGTAAAAATTACAAGAAGAAAAGTTAATACTTTAAGTGTAGTAAGCATAGTTATATCTTCTAAAACTGCTTTATTCCCCTTCCTTAAGTCTACGCAAGTAGCGCTGCTAGCACTTATTAAAAATTCTTACTATTTTAATCTTATTTCTGTAAGAGCTCTAACTTGTATTTAAGCTCTAATCCCCCTTACTACTCTTAACATAGCCGCAGCTATAGCAGTAGGAGCCTGCAAAAAGGCTTGTCCTAGGGCTAAGTTGCCCCCTAGGACTAATTTAACACTAGATCTCTACTAACCTATAGGCTAAGTCCCCTACTAATAACTAGAAGTACTAAGTTAATATTCTTATATATTTATAATAAGAAACTATATTAGCTTTAATATAAGCTTTTATTAACTTAAAAGTAAACAGCATAGGTTACATTAACAAAGAACTAGTGTGTAAACTAAATCTTTAATTAACACTACTTACTTAAATAATTTACCTAACTAGATTTAATAGAAAACAACTTAAAAGAGGTTCTATCTCTTATACTACAACTATTATAATTACCTACTAACACTATAAGAAGCAGATTAAGCTCTATGTAATAAACACAAGATGTTATAACCTAATTCTAGGACAACTATAGCTATATTAGCATAAGGTTGCCTTTAATTACTAAGAGTAAGTTCTAAACTTTAACTCTTTCTAATGCTAAAACATATGCTTACGCTTATACCTAAACAACACTTAAGTAGCACTTAATACAGAAGGTCTCTAGACCTACTTTTTAATAACCTAGAAAAGAACTACCTAAGTAAGGCTAACAAGCTAGGCCTTTTACTAAGATAGGCTATATAAAATAATTTAACAACTACTTAAACTTAAAAAAAAGAAAGCCTTTAAAGAATCTTTACTTACTTAATTTAGACATAAACTAGGACTTAAACAGCAGATAGACATCTGCTACATAAGACCTACCTTATTTATAACTCTAGCTTAATAACTAGATTACAAAATCTACGCAGTTATAATTTCTAATATAGACTAAGCTTTAGCTCTCTAAAAACACACTAACTTAAAGATAATAGTTCTTTAAAACTACTACAACTTATTACATGTTTTTTTTAAGACAAGTCTAATAAGCTTTTAATATAATGTCTGTATAATTACTAAATAACCTTTAAGCCTAGTAAACAACCTAGTTATAGGCTACTATATAAGATGTTACTAAACAAATTAAAAGTGCTCTAAAAATACTTTAATAAGAACCTAGAAAAAAGGTTTATTTAAGCTAGCTTCTTACTAGTAGTGTTACCTATACTATTTATAAAGAAACCTAAAAGTAGGCTCTAATTCTGTGTTAACTACTAAAGACTAAATACTATTACTATTAAAAACTAATACTTAATTCCTTTTTTATAGAAAACTCTAAGCTAACTAAGTAAAGTAAAGTATTTTATAAAGTTAAATATTATTACTGCCTTTAATAAGCTAAAAATAGTAAAGGGTAATAAGTAGCTAACAGCGTTTTAGACCTAATACAGACTATTTAAGTACCTAGTAATGCCTTTTAGCTTAGCTAACACGCCTAGTACTTTTTAACATTTTGTAAATAACTTACTCTAACTCTACCTAGACGTGTTCTGCACTATGTATATTAACAACATTTTAATCTACAGTAATAGCCTTTTAGAGCATAAACAGCATGTACGCCTAGTGCTAAAGGCTATAAAAGAAGTAGGTCTATAACTTAACATAAATAAATGTAAGTTCTACTAATTAAAGGTTATATATTTAAGATATGTAATCTCTATAGATAGCATCTAAATAAACCTTATTAAGGTTTAGACTGTACTAGATTAGTAATACCTAAAAAATGTAAAAGATATTTAAGCTTTTATAAAATTTACTAACTTTTACTAATAATTTATTAACAACTTCTTGTAGCAAGTAAGCCTTATAATTACACTTACTAAGAAAAAGATTTAATTTAACTTTAACTTAAATTACTAATAGTTTTTTAACTAGCTAAAGAAAGCTTTTACTAAAGCTCTAATACTTTACTACTTTAACTTTAAACTACTAATACTTATAAAAGCTAATGCCTTAGACTATGTAGTAGCAAGAGTTCTCTCCTAGACTAAGCTAGATAGGACTATTAGGCCTATTACATATTTCTTAAAAAGAATAAGTCCTGCAGAAGGTAATTATAAAATTTATAATAAAAAATTACTTACTATAGTACACTGCTTTAAATAATAGCAACCTAAACTAAAAAGTGCAGCGCATCTAATATAAGTTCTATCTAACTATAAGAACTTACAGTACTTTGCAACTATAAAATAACTTAGCTACTAATAAGCTTATTAGTTTAAATACTTATTTTATTTTAATTTTAAGATTACTTATTATTTTAGTTAAAATAGAAGAAAACTAAATGCTTTTATAAAGCAATCTTAAGACATCTTTGCTTAAAAAAAAGTGTAAAAAGCTTAACACTAAACTCTACTCTAACTTAAGCTATTTTTAGACCTTAACCTAAATAAAATAAATTAGATAATTAATTAAATTATTACTAATAAGTATTTAAATAATAAATTTATCTAAAAAACTTTAGACCTACTCTAAAACAGCGCTAGTTAGTTAAAAAAGGTAACACTAGCTAACTATAAAAACTAAAATAGTAAGCTATATTACTATAACTAACTTATAATCTCTAATTCTAATAAACTAAAAATTAAACTACTTTAAATTATACATAACTTGCCTGTTAGAGAATACCTAGGCAGAGGAAAGACTCTTAACCTACTACAGAGAGAGTACTACTAGCCCTGCATGTTCTATACTATACGCTAATATGTATTATGTTACTATATGTACTGTAAAGTAAAGGCCTTTTAAAAAAAGTATAATAGCTTACTTAAACTACTTCTAATTTTTAAATAAGCTTAAAAAGACATATTAATTAATTTTATTATAAACCTACTTTTATCTAAAGAGTATATAAATATTATAGTAGTTATTAATTACTTAACTAAGTATTAACACTTAATACTATGTTCCTTTATAACTGCCCCTAATATAGCCTAGTTATTCTACTAATACATATAAGTTTACTATAGCCTGCCTAACATAATTATATTAGACAGAGGTACGCAGTTTGTCTTAGCCTTCTAGAATAAACTCTGTAAATAGCTCTAAATTATCCCCTATTTATCTACAGCTTTTTACCTAAAGACTAACAGCTAGACTAAAAACATAAACACTATAATAAAATAAGTCTTATAAGTGTATATAAACTACTAGTAAAATAACTAAGTAAAATAGTTAGCTATAGCATAGTTTAAAGCTAATAACATAATATCTAAATTAATATAAGTATCTTTATTTTTAGTAAACTATAAATACTACCTCTAAATAAAATTTAAACTACTTTTAAATACCCTCTAACTAACTTATTAATCTATATAAGTAATAAATATAAATAAACTTATTAATAAAATCTAAAATATATTTAAATATGTTTATAAAAAGCTTACATAGGCTTAAGCTTTTTAATAAGAGTATATAAACTAATTCTAAACTCTTACCCCTATGTATGCAGCTAGCAAGAAGGTCTAGCTAGACACTAAAAATATCTAAATAAACTAATAATTAAAGAAACTTAATTAGAAAAACTTTAGCTTTTTTACAGTAGCCTATATAGTCTTATTACATGCTTACTAATTAATTCTACCTAACAGCATAAAGATACACCCTATGTTCCACGTATTATTGCTGCGCTAAGCAGCCTCTAAATCTAACTATCTACTTAAATAGCTAAACTTACTACTTAAACCTATTATTATAAATAATAAACTAAAATATATTATAAAAGACATTAAATAAATCTAGTTTAATAAAAAAAATGTATTTATAAATACTTTATAAAATAAACTAGATATAATAAACTATTATAAGAACTTATAGAAGCTTTATAAAAAAACTCTATAGTAACTTAATTCTACACCTAATACTTATCTAAACTAAACTTATACCCTAATAAAGACAACCTAATGCTAGAACTACTAATGTAAAGAATTCCCTTCCTAATAAGAGGGGGGGTACTGTTACAGTATCCTTTCTAGATTCTAGACATAACTGTATTAGACATGTACTAGAGTATTATTAGTGCACGTCTAACATAAACATAACATAATATAGACATAAACTTAAGTATAAACTACTTTAACACTAACTAAACCTAAAATAGGCTTAATTTATACTTAAAGCGCTTAGACTTTTAAGCTAAGTATTTAATTACTAATTTCTTTTTAAACTTTTTTATTCCTCACACAACGTCTTATACCTACTATAATACCTCACGTAGTAATTAAACTAGACCTCCGTGAAGCTCTATAACCTTACTCGTGCACAATCGTGACATTATAGTATTATAAGCTACTTTAAAGCATAGTAAAAACTTTATTTTTATAATATAAATAATTTAGTTATGTATAAAGTTTTTAGCTTAGCACTTATATACTTTTTTTAAAAAAGTAAAATAACCTACATTAAGTAGCTATAAAAAGTATAATAAGTAAAAAAGTATATAAATAGTAATATTTTTATTATTTTTATAGTATTACTAAAAATAAAGTAAGTTATAGCTTTTATAGCTATTAATAACTAGTAAATAGTAGCTACTAATAGTACACTTTTTTATATGCATGTTAAAGTGCTTTAACTAGTCTAGACTAAGCTAATTAGTAGTCTAGCTATACTTAAAAATTATAATAACTTAATTTTAAAGTAGATTTTTTTTATACTAGTTTAAAAAGTAGTTACTACTTTAAAAAATAATAAAAAGTAAAATAGCTTACTTTTTAGCATTAATGCCTTAAATAGCTATTATTTACTTTTAGTTACTTAGCTAGACTGCTTTTAGCTATTTTTATCTTTTTAAACTTATAATAACTACTTTAGTAGATATTTAGCCTATTATAAACTTTATTTTATTAAAGTTATATATGTTATTATTTTAAATACTATACTTAGCTTTAATATTTTTTATAAAGTTAAACTAGCTTTAAATTATTATAAAATTATTATAAAAAGCTTTTTTATAGTTATACTTATACTTAAACTTTGCTTTAAGCTTTAAGTAATACTTAATAAATATATTAAGCTAGTTTATGCTAATATAGCTTATATTATACTTTGCATATAAAGAATTAGCTATATTAGCTATAGCTACTAGCTAAAGAGGAAATTTTTATATATTTAGCTTAAGTATATACTAAATAATTACTTACTTTTTATTATTATTTAGCTTTTATAAGTTAGCTATATAATTAGCTTAGAAAAGTTATTTAGTATGTTAGTTACTTATTATCTTTTAAAAGACTTTATAAATAGCTATAGTATATTACTTAAAAAGTGTTATGTTTTATTTAAAAGCTTAAAGTGTAAGCTATATCTAATATTCCTTTAACATATCTAAGTAGTGTTGTTAAAAATGCATTAGTATAAAAAAAGTAGTGTAGTAAAGTCTTAGTAAAAGTAAGTAACTTAGGTGTGTGAGCAACTTGCCTGTAAAGTACGTTACACATTAAATATTTCTTTAGAACCTCTATTTAATAGAGGGGTCTAGGGAGCCATAAATAATTATACAGCATGACATGTCTACTAAGAGCTCTTATTGCTATCTTAGCATGTATTTGTGATTTCCAAAGCAGTTTTCTTTATATTAAAATGTGTTGTAGGGTCGAGGTTTGTGTTGATCACAGAAAGCAAAATAGTGAGTGAGCCTGAGGCATCGACGTTCGGCTTCCCCAATTTCGTGCGGAACTTTTCCACTTCCACCCCGCATCTCAGGGCACCATCCATTTTGCAACCCAGACCCCAGGGCAAGATGGAAGAAGACAGAGCAACCACGAATCCGGGCTTCATAGCAGAAGATGGAATAAATGAAGAGCCCATTGCTACCCCGAAGCACCCAAAGCGGCGTTTTGTAGGCAGGAAGACTGTTGCGAAGGTGGCGGGGAAGCAAGGAGACCCGAATGCAAATATCGAGGACAGCAGCGCAATACAAGGTGTGAGACGCCCTCTCATGCCTCCAAATTCTATTCTAGATACTAACATAGTTAATTAGTGGCCCAACCTCGTCGAACGGCCCGCACCTTGAACAACATCTCCGAATCCATCCTCAATGATAAAGACATCAATGAGGCTATCGCGCTCCTTCCCTCGAATTACAACTTCGAGGTCCATAAATGCATACACCGAATCCGGAAATCCGGGGCTAAGAACATTGCTCTGCAGTTTCCCGAGGGTCTTCTACTATTTGCGACCACCATCTCAGACATCTTGACGCAGTTCTGCCCAGGGACGTCAACGCTGATAATGGGAGACGTGACGTACGGAGCTTGCTGTATCGACGACTTTACGGCTCGCGCACTGGGCTGTGATCTCTTAATCCACTATGCACATAGCTGTCTGATCCCTGTGGCCGTCACAAAGATAGTCACGTTATATATATTCGTCTCCATCACCATTGACATTGAGCACCTCCTAAATACCATCACCCAGAACTTCCCCGTCGGGAAGACCATCGCTCTAGTTGGGACCATTCAGTTCAACGCCACAATCCACGGCATCGTCCCCATCCTTAGACGGGAAGGCTACAATCCCATTGTGCCACAAATCGCACCCTTATCAAAAGGAGAAATACTGGGCTGCACATCACCTTCCATGTCTATCAAGCCCGGTCAACTGGACTCCAAGGGGCGAGAGGAGGTAGTACCAGATTTGCTCCTATATCTCGGCGATGGAAGATTCCATCTAGAAAGCGCGATGATCGCAAATCCCTCTCTTTCAGCTTACCGCTACGACCCTTACTCGCGACGCTTAACCCACGAGACCTACGCTCATAATTCACTATACGACCTTCGCCGAACTGCCATTCTAACAGCTCGCGAAGCGCGCACCTGGGGCATCATCCTCGGATCGTTAGGTCGTCAAGGGAACCCACACACTCTGACGCTGATCGAAAACGAGCTCAAGCGCCAAGGCATTAATTCCATCAATCTCCTCCTATCAGAGATTTTCCCGGGCAAACTATCAATGATGTCTGATGTCGAGGCATGGGTACAAATAGCGTGTCCAAGATTAAGCATCGATTGGGGCTATGCGTTCCCAAGACCGTTGTTGAGTCCCTACGAGGCTCTTGTTGCGCTTGGGGTCAGAAGTGCTCCCTGGTTGGATGAACAAGGTGGTGAGAACGAAATGAATAAGAACAGGGAGGGAGGGAACTTGTATCCGATGGACTTCTATGCCAAAGAAGGCTTAGGGCGGACTACTATTGATCATATTAAAGCCGATGCAGTACAAATTGAGGACTGATAAGAGTTGGCTGTATCTTGCATGGAGGGGCGTTTGGCGGTGCATTTGCAGGCGCAAGGCCTGCCCCAAACGATCTATTAGGCATTATTGCGCTTCTTCACAGAGGCTAGTTGGCTGAGTAATTAGACAAAAGGAATAGGTAAATACTCTGAGCAGCATAAAATATTATTTCTTCTTCTGTGTTAGGATCCTGTGAGCCGACCGGGAATAGTGGATGCAAACTCTCACAAATAGTCACCAGGTTGGCCACTTCAAGCCTATACTTACATAGTTGCTAGTGGTATCTAGAGAAATGGCATTATCTGCCTGGTTCATTCATGTCTGTGTGGCTATGCTGACCAGATACATGAATGAACGCCCGTTTTGAACTGACTGATGCGCCATAGAACCGCCAAAAACCACTCTACTTCCTGAGAAGACGCTGGTAGAAGGAAAGCTCCTCACCCTCAAGGATGTATCCATCGCAACGACCGCTCTGACCAGGCCGGGAGGCGACGACCGCGTACAGACGGCCGGCCTCGAACTGTTTCTCAAGTGCGCTCTCTACCTTCCCGGAGACCTTGAGGCGATCGGCCTGCTTTTTCTCCACGCTCTTGGACTTCTTCTTGTCTTCTTCCTTCTCGGTTCCCTTGACTTGCCTCCTGCGTCCTAGAGATGAGCCGTAGTGTGCCTCATACCATTGCCGGAAGGGGGCAGCGTCGATCTGCACAACGGCGGCCTTGGTAAGTGTATTCGTGCGGACGAGTTCGTTGTTGGACGGGTGATAGACGACAACAATCACACGGGTCTTCTTAGCGATTCCCTCAGATCCCCATGAGAAGTTGCCCGAATCGAGACGGAGAGCGCGGAATTTGCGGTTGCCGCCACGAGTGCGGACAAGGTGGATACGCTTAGCACCAATACGGGTATTGGCAGGCTGGCGACCCTTCTCGAAAGCCCTAGAGCCATGTTAGACATGACTGTAGAAGCGATCGGGTTATGCATACCTCTTCTTGCGGTAGTATGCCCTCTTCGCACCGGAGGCGGAGCGTTTGTGGCGAGAGTCGCGAGAGATACTGAAAGTTGTTAGCCGACGTAATGAAGTGTCGGATGAGGGAGCGACGATACCCCATGATTGCGTTATACCAGAAGACTGCTGGACAAGACTCGAATTAGCAACAGTCTTATATGCTTCTAGAAATAATGGTTGAAGACTCGGATTGCCCGCATGCAGAACCACCAAAATCAGCTATATCAACTGCCTCCACAGGTCTGTGAGAAGCAAAGGCTCGGTGGGGTTGCCGCGAATTCATAGCTGGAGGTGGTAGTCGAAATATTCCAGACGGTGGATGCTCTCAGTGGCTCTGTGGCGGGCAATCCAGACCGAATATATTGTGAAGACGAGGGGGGCCAAGACTAACCTTGTAGATGTCTTCCGTCGCAAAGTGGTTGTCGGTGTTGGGGTTGGCGTGTCGAAACTAAAAACTTGAAGTTGCTGGTGCCAATTTCGTGGTGGGTTCGCTAAGCGGATCGGAACAAACAATTCGCCGATAGCGCTAGTCCGTAACAAGAATAGCTTTGAAGACCCGTGAAGTCGCAGATGGCCAGCCTCTTCCGTCCCTCAGCATGCACAGATATCTAATCACCCTTTGCGGCGAATGAAGCCTTTTGCTTCAGGATGCCTCGTGAATGTCTTGCCTTGATTTTCCCTCTTTGTTATACCCTATGTTCATACAAGCCTGCGTCCGCAATCTGAATCAAGGTTAGCCATCTCGCATCCTTGTACTAAGGAGATTCCACAGCTATTCTCATACGTCTTCCTTCTCCCACCCTTTGCCTCGATAATTGCCGTGCTAGGCTGAGAGCCAGCCTCGCGCTCAAGTAAAGTACAACAGGTCGCATTCTTCCCCCCGCACATATACCTCAAACAGACAATCATCATGCAGCTGTCAGCAAACACAGCGATGCGGTGCACGGGTGATAAAGATCGCGACGGAATTGTGCAGCCGCCTCGCCTCAGCTTGCCGCGGTCACTCTTTGCACCTGGGCCAGAAGGCAAAAGGTCTTGAGCGCACACTAGCGTTCTAGTCTGTTAACAAAACCTAACTTCCCACCATAGTATCAATCTCTCTCATGAAGCCATGTTGCAGGTTGGAGAAGGATAGGTTAGCTTTCGTGAGCCTAGCATCTAGTTCCATTCCCCAGGGAAGCACCGTCGGTCTCGTGGACTTCTGTACTACTAACGGAGGTTCCGCTACGCAAAGATTTGGACAACCCTGAATCCGCAGTCCGACGCCAGCCTGCATGAGCTCAAAGGAATTGCAACTAGAAGCTTCCGGTGAGGGCAATCCCAGCCAGACGTGTTTTACACACTGATAATCCACCGATCCTACCGCTGGTTCCGGAAGGGCTCATACCAATACTTGCTCTCCATAAAATATTTGGTTAGACTTCATCCCATCAGTAACCTTTTGCCCGGTTGATTTTATGTTCCACTTGCTAGGATTTGGAATCTGCCAGCCAAGCGCTGCACAGAATGTTGGTGGATCATTCTGGATGAACCGTGTATCGTCATCAGAAATCGGGCCACCGCCTGCTCCACGTGCAATTGAGCCGGGGTTCTCCAGCAGTTCAGGTTGGCTAGGAGTTGGTGTTGGGGCGCAGGATTTAACCATTGGAGGAAGAGGTACCGGCTGATTGTCCTCATCCTGGTGCGGACCGGAGCGCCGGCCAACGGCAGATAACTTTGATGGAAAGCTGCATTATTGGAGGTCAGCTTTTTGTTAAGATGGCTTGGCGCTTCCATGCACCACCATCGTATGGGTGACAGGATTTGCTTGCCCGTACCGAAGATGTCTTGAAGCCTCGCAGGTTGACACTGGGCAATCCTGCCCAGTTGTGGTCCACGAAGCCTAATACCATGACAACAGCATGCAGAAGTGGTGGTTCGACTTTGCCTAACGGGGCGAGGAAAGCGCAAGGTTACACCTCTTTATGTCCTTATTGCTTCGGTCGGATACGGTGTTTGAACTTCTCCAGAGACTGGATCCGACAAAGGCTGGAAGGCTTCGAGATTACTTCCCCCACATCCTTCAATCTTCATCCTGCCTCCCGTGCTGGGGCTAGGCTATTCCTTCGAAACATCGTTTGGACTTCATGGCGGCTTTTGAGCACTTACAGGGATAAAGCTCGCTAAACCAACCGCACTGAGGAAGGTCTCTTGACAAGTCCATTAAGAACTGCCAGCGGACGTATGACAGCCGTTTCCTTTTCGCCAACAATTTATCCCAAGCAACATCGAGCCACTCCACGCTCGGGAAGATCTCCAATCGGCACGGGGACCCCTCAAAAACCTTATGCCGACCTAATCAACAGCAATCTATGTAAATTCCCTATAAAGCCGTTCTCGAGTTCTTCTCATACCCAGCCGCGAGACACCTTGATTGAGGCGGAGTTGTTTGGGTTGAGGTATACGGAGATTTTTCATTCATTCTGGTTTACGATATTGCTTCCCATGGCTGGGGAGCGTCTAGGTGCATTGATTATTGTTCTTCGCGGCACCTTTATGACCATCTGTAAGGAACCATGCTTTCTCGTTGTTGATGCTTCGACCACCACCGTCCTTACCTGTGCTGTTCGCTTTCTCTCGCCATGCTTTCAGTCGCCTCCAGGCGTGGTGGGCGGGCTTCTGCCCTCTTCATATGCCGAACGCTGTGCTTATGTGCATCATGGGTTCAAGCTGTTACAGCTCTACCCCAGGCTGGTACGCGTCGGACGTAGCCCATTGCGTCCACTTTCTCTTATCTAGTACAGCATTCGTCTTACTGACACAAGGCCATGTAGGATCTGGGAGCAATGCACCGATCGCGACATCTGGTATTATCGCTCTTATACCATCCGCACCAAGTAGGCACAATTCTGCAATAGATCCACGTTGAAGTCTCTGAAACTGATTTTGGCGTCGCGTCATCGATAGAAGCAACCCTACTCATCCCATCAGAGCCTGCGCCCTCTGGGCTGATACTATCGCAACCTATTTCATCATCACGGCCATTTGGTCTGATTCCATCAGCACCTCCATCTGGGCTGATACCTTCCGCGCCGCCCTCTGGGCTGATTCCTTCTGCGCCGTCATCTGGTCTCATCCCATCCGTGGCGGCAACCACAAGTCGGTTTGGCCTAATACCGTCTGGTCCGGTACCCTCGCAACCCAGTTCATCATCACGCCCATTTGGTCTGATCCCATCGATGACGGTAGGCCCACCTACTTCGATACTACCGCCAGGAACTCTTCAAGAAAGCAGTGGTTCTAATGGCGTCTTGACGCCAGTTGTGCCATCAATGATATCGACAGAGGAAGGCCTCAAACCAATCCCACCCCAAACAACGGCGCCGGGTGATCCGGACGGCCATCATGAAATTACAGAACCCAATCTTACTGCCACTGCGCCCTGCAAAGGATGCTCCCCAGTTATTGAGGTTTCTGTCACGGGATTCTTCGACTGGCACACAACACCCGCCGCCGAGAATGCAGGTAGTTCGGCAGCTCCTCCCTCAAAGGCAACGGTTACTGCTGGAGGATCACAGCTCATCATCAGCAAGGCCCCAGCGGGCACAGACTTTGTTATCGGTGGTACAACAACTGTAGCACCAGGACAAACTGTAACCATCGACAATACGCCGGTCGTAGTGCAAACTTCAAACGGCAACACAGAAGTCGTCGTCGGAACAAACACTGTCAAACTTTCCCCCAACTCTCCCGAATCTGCAGGTAGCCAGATTACCGAAGCACCGATTCTCTCGCCCGTGACTATCGCCGGCGAAACGCTTACCGCAAACTCGGCCTCGCAATATGTTATCCAGGGGCAAACCCTTACCCCAGGCGGCAACGCAATCACCGTCGACGGAACCACAATCTCGCTCCTCCCCTCCGCCACCGCAATCGTCATCAACGGCGAAACCAGTACCCTCGCGCAGGCTTACGGCGCAATCTTCACAACCACCGCCGCACCACCGCTAACCATCAACGACCACGTCTACACCGCAAACCGCGCCGGCTACTACATCCTCGGCCCGGGGACGACGCTCATCCCCGGCGGATCCCCCATAATCGTCTCCGGCACCGTGATAAGCCTCGAGCCTTATGGCACCGCTGCTGTATTCCAAGGCTCTACGAGTTACATGACGCCTGCCACAACTATTGTTACGTTAACGCGACCAGCGGGACTGGGAGGTGACGCGTGGAGTTCTGACGCCGGCGGCAATTTCGCGCAGAGTACAGCGAAACACAGCACCGCGGGCGCAAGTCGGCAGATAAGTAATTCCTTCGTGTTTGGAGCGTGGCTAGAGGGTATATTCCTATTGGGATTCGTAGGATTTGGATGGTTAGCTGTTTGGCTATAGAATTGGGAGGGACTGGGAATGTGTGATGAGTACATGTATTATGAGGATACCCATCTAGGCGTTTAAATTATTTATTTTGGATAAGGTAAAGCATAAATGCGAATAAAAAGCCGGATATTCTATAAATCTATTTTTTCAACATGCGATGGAATCCCCTAAGCCCCTGTAAGTTTTCTAGCAAGAGTCTACGAATGTCCGGGCTGTTCTTTGAGCTCCGCCAACCAGACCCTTCTTCTAGATGAAGGTGGTATAGGGTAGATTTCGGGCTGGATTCTAACAGAAAACAATAGTGTTATTTTTGTTCGTAAATCTATTAGATCCAATATGTGTTTTTTTTTTTTTTTTACATGCGGCATAATCCTTATGGTCCTGCTCTATTCTTAGCAAGAGTCGGAGACTATTAAGGCTGTGTTGTCAGGCGGTCCGTGAATTCATTCATCGAATTGCGGCTAGATTCTAGTGAAGGGAAATAGGATCAGAGTTTTAGAAAACTATTAAATCTGACTACTTACAAGTACTCGTATCCACGCTACCAGTTAGGGAAAATCATTACATGTTGAAGAGCTACCTGAAGTGAGGAGCAAGTTTTCATAGAAGTAAGCTCGAACTATAAACCCAAAGCGATCCCTATCATGCACAAGAAGCGCAAAGAAGCACAGGAAGTATTCATCCAGTAGATGCCACTAGTAGGGGAAAATAGTGGAAAGTAGGAAAGCTTGGCAGAGTTCAGAATCCACCTCGCTTGAACAACTCGAAGGCCTCGGAAACAGCACGCTTAATCTCTATCTTCCGAATGCCTAGCCCCCTCTCATTCTCCATTGTCAGGCCCTCGATGAACGGCTCTCCGTCAAAAATTACCCTAAGATCGATCCAGATTGGGATTGATTTGATAACACTAGTGCAACCGAAGATATCCATAGCGAGGACCTTGTAGATTCGCTGGACGTAAGGGACCCACTTCTCACGATCCATGCGCACCAAAGCCTTGCCAAGGCCCCTAGTGACAGCTTCGAGCTCCACAATGAGGGTGACAGACTCGAGTTCACGATATATGGGTAGGATGCCGATATGACCGGAGTTGAGCAGCCAGGCGAAGGGATAGATGGCGTGAGCGCGGAAGCACAGCTTGCGGATCAGGACGTTGCAGCCCCATGGAAAGAGATGCATGCCGAACTGCGCTGGCGGGGATGTCTCGTTGGTGAGGTTGGTCATCTCGAACATATTCTCACCGTAAAGGATCGGCCTGGCTTCCTCATAGACCTGGCGATTGGTGCGGACGATAGCAACATTGGTGAGGTAATGGCGCCAGAAGCGAGAGGTGGTTCCACCTGCAGTGACTCGTGTGAGAGTGTAGGCGACGCCAGGTTCAAGCCTACGCTCGTTGATGTTGCAGAACGGTGTCGGGTGGTGTAAAATGGGAGTTGAGTACTGGCGCATGAACACGAGGCCTGGGACCAAGAGAAGGTGCGAATAGATTTGCTTCTTGATATGCAGTGGGAGGTCCATGAAGCGAAAGCCATTGGGGGTTCCTAGAGGTGTGTGTTAGCAACGAGCCCAGAAAGAGCGATTTGCTGCTTGGGATACTTACCATCATGCTCCTGATCGGTGAAGTGAGGTGGAGTGAGTCTCCTAGAACCTCTGGTCGTATCGTTGACGGTGGGGATGAGAATGTCGGTCTCCGCATCAGAATCTGTGTCATTCGGACTAGCATTCAGTTCCTTGTAGCTGATACAGACGTGAACGAATTCGCCCTGCTCGCTGAAGAAGCTGATGCGTTTTACACTTGGATGTCCACTGAGTGGGGGCGTAGGAAGCTGGTTGCTGTTGCCCTCGAAGGCTGTCGGTCGAGTACTAAGTTGCGTTAGCATTTTGATTGAAAGAGAGCTAAACTATCAAGAAAACGACAACTACTATAGCAGCAATGATGCATTTGAAGCGTCGTGACGGAGAGAAAGACGGATGAGGGCCTAAACAGCCAACTTATACCCCAATGATAGTGAAAGTAAGTCCTCACCGATCGAGCAGAGGTTTACTTTCACTACTCTCTCGGACCTCTGGCCGAGGGATTCCGACAGCAAATTGCGATGAACACTACTAGTTGCTCACCGATCGGAGCCCAGAAGGGTAAAGGGAGTGAAAGAAAGGAACTGGTGGGTAGCAGCTCTCCATGGTTGAACCAATTAGAGGGCACGATCTAGCTCTGAGCGGGAGGAAAGAAGGATTCTAAGAGAAGGAGAAGATTCGACCAGATTCGATGAAGCCATTTGGCTTTGTGTTTAGGCATTGGTAGGATGATATTAATATCACCTGCTGAGCTCGCTCGATTGGGCGAAAAGGGAAGTCGTAGTTCTAGCGGGCCCATATGCGTTTAGGTTCTAAGAACATGCTATAGCGAGGTTGGCTTCCCAGCATATATCCCTCTCTTCAACTGAATTGGATCACCTTCACTGCTCTGATGACCGAACTGTTCTTTACATTGAAATTGGGAATCTCTTCAGCTGTTGGTTGGGAAATTACTTCTCGAAACTCGGAATAATATGTAGAGCTCAATGAGAACGCTTGTTGTCGCTAGCCCAGGTAGTGGCCGTTAAGATGAGGCGTTAAAAGATCACATATCCTCACAATGAAACTACAGTGCATTCAGCAGGCTGGACGCTCAGACCAACATGTGGCTGACTAACCCATTTTCTTACCGAACCTCAACCTCATCCGCAACTCCATCTTCCCACCCCCCAAGCTTGCACCCTCGCCCAATTCATCTCCTCTCAATCTACGATGTTCACCAACAGGGCTCTCAGCACTGCTCTCCGAGCTGGTGCCCCCCGCGCCCCAATTGCTGCTCGCATCACCGCGACACGGAGCTACGCAGCAGCCGCACCACCGAGCGCTTCAACGAAGCCGCCCGTTGCGCTATTTGGCGTTGACGGGACATATGCATCTGCTCTGGTATGCACTCATCTCTCTCCCGCGACTTTTCTAATGAAATAACTACAATTGAGCCCCCAATGGCAAGAATTCCAACTAATCTGCGATATTTTCTAGTACACGGCCGCCGCCAAAACTAGCACTCTAGAGCCCACCGCCCGATCGCTCGAAACCCTTTCCAGCCTCTTTAAGAGGGATGCTAAGCTTGCCGCGGTCCTCGGAGCCCCTACCCTCAATGTCTCGGATAAGCAACAGATTGTGGCGGAGTTGGCTAAGCACCTCGGCGGCCAGGATCGGGAGGGTGTGGTGAAGAACTTCTTGAACACGCTTGCGGAGAATAACAGGTTGGGCGTTTTGGAGAGCGTGTGTGAGAAATTTGGTGTTTTGATGGGCGCGTATCGGGGGGAGGTTGAGCTGACGGTTACGAGTGCTGCGGTATGTCGTAACCCTTCATCCCTTGGGCAAGCTGCTGGGCTTGGAAATTATCATCATTTATGCATGGCACTGGCGCTGGAGCTTGAAGCTGCCCTTATCTCTTTTGGATTGGACGGTCACTAACACAATTACAGCCTCTCGACAACCGCACCCTCAGCCGACTCGAAGCAGCCGTCGCAAAATCGCAATACGTTGGCCAAGGCAAGAAGCTCAAAGTTGTTCCCAAAGTCAACCCAGACATCCGCGGAGGCCTTGTCGTCGAAATCGGTGACCGCACTATCGATCTCTCTGTCTCCTCCAAGATGGCCAAGATGAATAAACTGCTTAAGGATAGTCTATAAATATTTCGCAAAGAATTGCTTGATGGATATGTGGCGGCATGGGCGGATTGCTGGGTGGATATGATATGTATTCTAGATGGTTCTGATCAAAATACATCTACTTTGTTCACGTTTTGTGTTTGTGCTGGAGGTGTTTGTCGGCGGTTGTTTCCACTGCCTTGGGTTTTGTCCTAATCACCAGATGTCTAAGTTATGACCAAAACGTAATCTTACACTACCAATACACCACCAATAAATACATGCTTTCACCGAGGAAGAAAGCCCTAGAGTAAGGACGGTGACGGTGGTAGACGTCCCACCTATAACATCGAAGACAGCGCTGAAGCAGAAATTGCCCACATATTTCTCAATCTGCTAGCGCCCTCAACCCCACAACACCAAACTAGATTTCAACAAGCAACAAAGAAAGATTGCTCGGTTCCGCTCGAAGCGCTAAATAGACTTTTGTCGACAAAGGAATCCGCTGGGATACATTTCGCCTACTCATCGTCATCCGAATCAACATAGCCTAAAGTTCGGTCGACGAATTCGGTCGTAGTGTCGCGGTGGCAGCCTTGACATTAGATGCTTGGCCGAGGCAAGGACTCTTAGGTATAGGACGTACCTGGAGATCCCTCCGATGACCCTATGCCTTCGTCCACGGTCTGGCTAATACTATCTTCAATACAATTCTTCACCTCTTCGCCGACTTCTGGCCCATGGTCGCCAATAGCCAGGTCAAACTCTTCAAGATCCTGCATGAGACCGTCATCATACTGTTCGCCTGGGTCGCTTGGAAGTACCCCCATGTGCTTGAGTCTGTCTTCGTATCTGTCTTGTGCGTCCCTGACTTCCCTTATGAACTTATCCATGGTTCGATCGACATAGTCTTTCTCGGTTTCAGTTAGCGGTCGAAGTGACGTCCTGATCGCCATCCTGTTGACAAAGAACATGTTGTTTGAAAGGTTCACAACTGCCTCATCAAGCAACAGCTTGACAGGTGTCTGGTTGTTGGCAGAAGGAGGAGGTGATGGCGTTCCCGTACTTTCCCGTGGGGTTTGAGTCCGCCGGCGTTTCTTTTCCTCTTGCTCAGTAATCCATTCTTGTAACTCTTGGGCGTCCTCGAATTCATAGTAGGCGCCAGGCTCTCCAGGCACAGGCTAGGCAGGCATTAGTCTTAGCTCCGAAAGAAATTAGAGTTTGACATGCCACTTCGATAGGGTATGTGAGAGACTCCATATCTTCGACATCTGCGAATGGATTGATGCTGTTCGGATTTGGGTTCTTGTAGTACTGATTTTTAGGCATTTCGAAGAAATGAGAGTGTTCCTGTTGCCGCGAGGCAATCTCTTCTGCGGCTTGCGTTGCCGCCAGAATCTTCATTTCAATTCCAGCCAAAACTGTGGACAGCATTAGCATCAGAAGCCATTTGATGTTAGAGGAAAATCACTGTTGCGAGGTGCTTCGGGATTGATTTTCCTCTCTACCGACTTACTCCTGCGCCTCTTACTTGCTTTCTGCGACTGAGGCATTGGCCCTGGGGTTGTGTTTGTGGCCATGAGGTTTGTTTCCAGAATGGAGCCTTTGGCAACTTGTAGCACAGTAGGCTTGCATTGAATGGGTGCTGTTGTATCGCTGGCATTGGGGTCACCTTTCTCGGGCGTACAGTTCTCCACCCTGTTCGATCCAGGTAATTGCTCAGCAGCTCCAGCAGAAGCATATTCATCTCTAGAAGCATTAACAGAATTCCACCCTGCCATGTTAATTCCCGCAGCGGGGTGAGGCGGTAACGCGTGATTTGTCTGGTTGCGCAGCCGGGGGGGTGATGTGGTCGTTCCACAGGCTTGAAGTGCATATGGAAGTTTTAGCTCGAGATCGACCATAGGTTTGTCCGAGCCAGTCACTCGTCGCTGCCTGCTACCACTGGCGGCCGGGCAGATGCCGACTACAGCTTCCGGTTTGACTTCCTGATCAAGCTGCTTGAGTGCTAGCAACACGTCGCGAGCCTGGATGGCGTGCTCGTTCGAGCCCAACCCAATATTGGTTGGCTGCCGTTGCCGGGCACTCGCTAGTCGTTGGCGGAAGGAGCGAACGTCTGGCACACGGTGTGCGAAGTCGTTGAGCATGGCCAGCAGGAATGCGTCGAGGGCCTTGGCGGAAGGTGGGCGGTAGGCAGACGGAATGGCCTCGAAAGGGCTCATCCCAAGCTGTTTAGTGAAGGCGGTGATGTAGTGGCGGTTAATCAAGCTTGTAGCTATGAGCGACTGTTTGTTGATAAACAGTCAGTTGTTGGCTAACCATGCGGATGGGAGACTTGCCTCTGGAGTGCTCGACATGGCGAGCCGAGCCCAGTCTACGGATGCTACTGAGCGTCTAGAAAGAAAAAAAAAATCTGCTCTGTGCCGGTTAGGCGGAGCGAGAAAGCGAAGAAGGAGGCTGCGTTAAATGTAGAAAGCATTGCGGGAAGCACCTGCCCGCATGTCTCACTTCGGGTTAACAAACTTTGGAACGCACCACAGCACTACCCCCCATCCACATTGCCTAAAGAAACTGAAACTGAACTCCATCCTGCCACTGACAATAGAACATGAGAAGGGTATTTTAGAATAGAAATTTACTTCCTGCTGACGTTCTCCCTCCCTGCAGTCAGTGGCTTAAGAGATTTCCTCGCCTGATCATGTTCCTCCAAGTTATATGATAATATGCTGAACCAAGCGGGGCCAAAGCTTAGACCATGTCTCTAATGTTTCCAAGGTTCATAATTAAATTCTACAGTTTCCTGCAGTAGTCACGTCCGTGATCCACCTGCCACCGACACAGCCAAACCTCAAACGCCATGCTGATGAAGCCCGCAACGCAAATACCCCCAGAATCACTTACACTGGTGGCCCCCAGGCTGAATTCTCTGTCCGCCTTCGGAACATTGTCTGTGATCTCCGCAAAAGTGCTTACATAGACCAAGCCCCCTAGCAATCCTTCCCAGAAGACGATGATGCACACAATGTAGAAGTGCGGGATAAAATCGAACATTGCATGGAGAGTGAGAACGAAGAGATTAATCACCTGTAGAAAGGATGGCAGGTATAAATGATGGACTCTGATGAACGGCGTGGACGACCGAGAGATGAAGACGCCCACCTGGTAGATCGCACCGTAGGTCGGATAGAAGGACCGGTATCTTTGAAACGGGCTAGACGACAGGGGGAAAAGCAAGGTTGGAGCGACCCCCTGATTAATGGTGTATTCTGCGATGTAGACAAGCAAAAGTGGGAGCATGCTGTGGACTGTTAGTCAATCAATAGTAATGTTGCGGGCAAGCTAGACGACATACTAAGGGAAAAACAATCCCCGGGAGCGCCGTAGATTGGTTTTGAAGCTGTTCCATGCGCGTAAGTGGACGCTCACTGAACTGAAGCTGCGTCCAGAGGCAGAATGCATCGAGGATGAGAGAAGACCCTGTTGTTCGCCACCTTGGCCAAGCTGCTCGCTGGTCTCCAATGGGTCGTCCTCTAGTTCTTGGTCATCGTTTTCAATGGCCTCATATTCAGTATGTTTGCCAGACGATGTGTGGAGAGGGCCAAGAGGAAGGACGAAGAAGAAGCTGATCAGCATGATGACGGGGAGGCATGATGATGCTAGCAAGCTAGTACGGGCGCTGAATTTCAGAACCGTAGTGGCAAGCGCATACGCTCCAGCACCCACAATGCCAGCACCTCCCGTGCCGGACCCCCAGGCAGCAAGGGCAAAATGTCCGTAGTAGTGGGTCAAGCCCAGAAAACTGAGCTCACCCCCGCCACTGCTCAAACTAGCCAGAATAACGCCCCCCATCTTTATGCCAATTGTCTTTGAGTCTTGCAGAGCGGGCGTGAGGGCTACGATGAGCATGCCACATATTGAGAGTGCCACGAAGATAACGATCCGGACAGGATACGGTATCTTGTGGATAAAATAAGGTGCGCATAATTTGGTCAAAAAAGAGGGAACGACATCGGCAAGTAAGACTACGCCTTTGGGGACGTCGGGACCCACGAGATCAAGGGCAGAGGACAGGATGATGACATAGAGGACGTTGTTGATAAGGCCTAGACTGGCGTGAGCGAGCGCTCGTTGGACTGAGCTCATGTGGATTCACTCCGTCAGATATGCTCGCTCCTGCACGTACCGAAAAGCCAGAAAGCGGCGCATACTCGTGGATCAGCGCCCTCGAAGACCGCGTTAAGGCGGGCTTTGTAGACAGCCCATGAGGCGGAGGGAGAGCCAGGCATCGGGAGAAGAGGCATGTGTGGGGGTGGGGGGGAAACCTGGGATGGTAGAAGTGGGGCAGTCAAAAGTCCAACTGAGTTTCACATCTCGAGGCTCAGCAAAGCGCATCCCAAGCGTCGAAAGATGATTTAGGCAGTCACGTGTATGCGTCCGGGGACATGAGGTTGAGGTGCGGCGCAGACGTCAGGGATCTCTTGGCAAAGAGCGGTGACAATTTTTAGTTTGGCTCCGGTTTGCACATGATTTGAAACAGGTACCGCGTGCACGCCTGTTGGCGGCCAAAATTCCCTATCGACTCTGGCGCTCCAACTGCTGGCTGCAACGTGATGTGGCGGCGTATGCAGCGGACTTGAACGAACTAGCGACAGAAATGGGACAGACATGGAAAAGAACGCAGGCCGGGAGAGCAGCGGAATTCAATTCGATATCGCGCCGGAGCTTTGAGGGGACACCTGCGTGGACCTGCAGCATACCGAATCGGGATGCGCCGAGCAGGGATGCCAGGGCTAAGATCAGCCATCCGTGCTGCCCCCAGGTCGAGACGCACCCAAGACTACGTTTCTCCTCATCACCATTCTCCACGACTCACACGCTCTCTCTCTAGTGCTTTGCTCTCAAACCCCTCCAGATCGCGACCCGCCTCCACGCGCTGGCTCCGTGATCATGACAGGCTGTTAGTCTGCTCGTTTGACCTTTTCCAGACCCTGCTCGCCCTCCAGGACGCTGTGAAAATTCCGATCAAACGATCATGGACCCACGCCAGCCCCAGCATCCCTTCTCTCGACCTCCCGAACGCCCTCTCATCCACAATCCGAACCACCAGACTCCCTCCCAATCGCCGCAGACGCAGTCCTACTCTAGCTATCCACCTCCAGCGTCGCAACCGCAGCCACCAGTACACGTCCCCTTCACTACCGACCCATATTCCTCATCACGCCGAGATCCTTTTTTTCCTACCGCTGCCCAGCAACATGCACGAAGGAGCAGTTATGGTATGCATGGTGGAGACGCAGCACCTCCCGCGCAAGGCGAGAGACACGGTGGTTGGGGAAACACAGGTACGATCTGCAGCTGCGGCTCTCATATTCCAAAAAAAAAAAACCATCTGCTGCGGTGCAACCAGGAAGCCAGAGTGTGTTGAATATAGCAGCTTGTCGGAGATGCTGGTGACACGGCTCACGTGGGCAATCGCAAAAAGTAGAGCAAGAGCCGAGCGCCAGCAAGCGGTGGACATGCCAGGCCAGCTTGGCGAGGTGTACATTCCCTTTGCGTGTTGTGGATGCGCAAGCATCTTTGTCGCAATGGGCCTCGAGGCTGTGGCGAACAACGGCTCGACTCACCTCCAGTTTGTCTGCCATTGGCCCACTGCCAGTTCTGGAGGTGCGTCGACGGGGACTAGTGTAGCCGTCTGAGCACCTGTCTTCTCACCCTTCGAGCTTCGAGACGCTGGGTCCCTTGTTCGAAGTGTGGTACCGCTCTCAGCAAACCCTACAGGCTTGAAGGCGCGTGTCCACATCACCCATCACACTTGCTGGCTTCCCGCACAGATGGCTCCCTAAGCGAGACATCCCCTGTCGCGCGCTAAACCCCCTTGTGGACAGCACTGACGATCATGTCTAGCGGGCCTTCATGCATCTCATCCCCACGCGCAGTCTGGTCCACCACCTCCACCATCCATGTCGTCCTCACACAACTCCTCAAGCCAGCCGCCGTACGGCTACGAGGCGCCGCGACGGCCCTCCCTTGGAGGTGGAAGTCCCTCAAACCCATATGGAGGCAAGACCCCGCATTCAGGAGCCGTGCTTCATCCTCGCCGCTTACAGCTACTGACCCTCCTGCAGCTCCCTCGCACGACCCGCCACCACCGCCGCCCTCCTTCTCCCGTCCGCACATGCCACCCCCCTCATCGCCGCAACAGCAGCACAATCATGCTCCGCCATCGCAGCCTCCGCGTCCTCCCTTCTCGTCATCGTTTGGCGGAGGACGAGAGCTCCCCGGGCTAGGAGCCGCTCATCGACCAGGGAGCAGCATGTCCATCTCGTCCCTCATCGGTGCTGGTGACACGGCATCCAACCAGCAATCACAGTCGCAATCGTCGCCTACGACTGCTCCTTCAAACGCGCCCCTGTCGAACAATCACACCATGCAGCCACCATCGCCAAGACGGGGTCTTTCATCTGGTTCACGATCAGACTTCCAACCCTATCGGTTACAATCATCCCCAGAAGACAGACACATGTACGGCAGTACTACTTCCAGGCTTTCTGAAGTACACGGATATCCTACTGGATCTCCGACTCGACCTTATAGCAACCATGGCTCTCCCGAGCAGGGCCGACAACCTCTGCCTCAAACGTCGCAGCCATACAAACCCATGGTCTTTCAAAGCTCTCGGTCTTATGCATCCACGCCTAGCGATGCGCAGGCGAGAGACCCAAGACAAGCCTCAACAAGCGTCCCTCCACGGCCAAACAGCCAGCCAACCGGTCCGCCTGGTACATCCGATCACGAAGCAAAACCCTCATACGATGCGTTGGGAGGGCGGCGGACCACCTACCAACAGCCCGAGGAGAGACGGCGGACGCTGGGCGAGTCACACCACACGAGGCCTAATACTGCAGAGATCCTAGGTGGGAATTCACAGGCTGGAACCCACAGGGACCGCCCCGTTACCGTCCAGCCAGTGTCCCATTCTGCCTTCAGCCCACCTCGCGATCCACGTGGAGTTTCTCTTGCGAGTCAAGCTCCGCGAAACCTTTGGCGTCAAGCTGTCCCAGAAGATGCGCCCCGAGAGACCACCGAAGGTCGTCGGGAAGAACCGGCTCCGTATCGGGGATATAACTATCCAGCTTCGTCACAAGCTCCGGCTCCCTTTGGTCCTCACGCAGGAGAAGACATGGTTCGCGGACGGAGTTTAGATCATTTGAGCCATCGCGCTGTCGAACAATACCATGCTCCTCCAACTTCAGACCCCCAGACGAATGAAAGACAGAAGGCCGAACATCTTTCTCGGTCTTTGTCCTCTGGCGGTCTTGGATATTCAGGCCGTTCTATATATGATCAACCCCGGAGGATGGGTGAGGATTTGCAGCATTCAAAGGTCTTGCTCGCTCTTGGCCCCGAAGCCAACAGGAGAACAGGACGTGCTTCTCCGCTGCCGCAAGCTGTCCAGGGCGCACAGGCGCAGCCGCTTTCGATTGGGAAGGATCCCAGCATTAAAAGCGAATTTGGTCGCATGTTTTCAGGGCTAGGGAGTGGATTGGGGACAAATACGCCGTCTAGGCAGTCCCCAATGCCACAAAATGGTCCCGAAATTTTACCGCCTGGCGCAGATTCGAATGACTCGAGACTGCAAAGGGTCAGTTCTCAGACTGGGCGTAAGCCTAAAAGAGTAAAGGATGAAGAGGGTTTGGTCGATAATGAGAGTGGAGATGGAAGGGGAACGCCTGCCCTTGGTGGAGTTCGGGGGACGAAGCGCAACAAATACACCCATCCAGGCCATCACCACCACCATCACACACATGCGCATCAGTGAGTTTCGCCCTTGTTTCTTTGAGTATCGCCTAACGTTATACAGCCATCATCACCATCACCACAAGCCTGAAGAGGACTTGGCAATAGTGGCTGCGCCAGCTGCTTCCACACCCTTAAATCAAAGGTATCCCAGTCTACCACAGAATGGAGCAACGCCACAGCCGTCGCACCATCACCACCATTATCATGCTGCACCACATCATCACCATCATGCTCCTCGACTCACTCAAGCAGCACCTCTACCGTCTCCTAAACTCCCTCCAAAGGTTCACGATATTCAGCCTGTGTTGGATGAGGCTGCTAAGTATCCCCGGGCCCATCTTGGGTCTTACGTGTATGAAGCGACCCCCGTGTTGCCTCAACCGAATTCCGCGCTCGACGATCAGTTCTCTTTTGCCTCCAAGCCGAAGCCGCTCTCTCAGCTGGAATTTCCTAGGAACCCGGTCAACTGTACCATTGACGTGAGAGTTCCTAGGTACTATCTAAAACCACGGCAAAGACAACAGATTGTGCTACAACACCATCTCTGGGGTGCGTGTGTCTACCGCGATGATTCCGATGTGATTGCGGCGGCGATCCACTCTGGATGGATCCGAGGGGAATGGGATGACACTGTGGACATCAATATGCTAGACCCGCGTATTACAGCGCCAAATGACGCAAACGACGCGGAAGAGACATTGGAAAGGCGCCCTGCCGCACCCGTCCCCCCACCAGCAGACATAGAAGCGCATATTAGGCTCCTAATCTTGCCTCGTATTGAGAAGTATGTAGGGACCGTCGAATACGGAATATCGAGCCGGAAGAGTTCCAATCATGATGGGCTGAGCTTCATGATCCACCAAATCCGCTGGGTAGAAGAGGGCTACGGAAGCCGAGGGCAAGAGAGAAACGCAGCTGCGATGAAGCGGAGGCTTGATTCCGCGAGAACGCTGCTGAGCCTAGGGCATGGAGGGGATAATTCACTACGGCGGGTGAATGGGACAACGAAGTTGAATGCTTGAGACGGCCAAAAATAACCAGGACAACACTCATTTAATGTCTGATTTTTGGACAACTGGTTTGATGACTTGGGCTGGTCGGTTCATGTAAAACAGGAAGGGTTGGTTGTTCGTTTCATTCGGTTCAGCATTGCTATATACCCATAGTTCTACGCCTGTGACGGACTTCGGCCTCCCGTTGGGATTTTCGCGTGGCTACTCACGAGATAGAGAGGCCTCGTTTGAACATTTAGAAGTGGAGGAACAGGAGGTAGACTAATGCAACGCAAATTCTGCATCTCCGTTACATAGCCTCACCGCCTTGTGACCTCTAACAGACGCGGTGCTGGGTAAAATGGATTGTTACTCCACGTGGAAGCTTCCAGTGGTGAATGGTAATTCAATTAGCGATACGGTGCTTTTTTGTGATAAGGCAATCACGACAGACCGAAGTCGCACCCGAAGAGCCAGAGCGGCGGGAGAGAAAGGAAGGTCCACAACGACGACTTGTGAAGTTGCGCAGCTTTGCAAGAACACTTTCACCACCAGGCCACATCTTCCCAGCATTCCAAGCCTCTTCGTGTGCGCCAGGTGACGTGGAAAAGACGCCTTGCTGCCCCTCCTCCGTGCGCTACTGCTGGAGCCGACCCAGTCGACGGCTGTCGGCATCATCGAAAGGCTCTCGAGAGCACTTGTGGCCCATGGCGCGCATCAGGAACTACTCCATCTCAACGGTGAGTGGCATTTCTGCTTCTTCATCGTCACGTTCCTTCTCTCTCCGAGGCCTCACCACCACCTGTGGCCGATCGCGCCCTCTCCCAACTTGAAATCGCCTGCCCGGAATCATTCGGCACGCCGCACAGTGCATGCTGTGGAAAACGCCGGCTTAGGCATTTTCTGGCATCTCTACCCAGTCATTGGCCTCATTGGTCATTGCCCTCGAGTGGCACCCCAAAAGGCACACGACCACTTCAATCTCCCTTGCCCGACCAGCGAGTGATGGCCCGGCATAGGACCCGTGAGAGATCGATCACCCTGATTGCACCGCTGCGGCGGATCCGGCTGGCCAGGAACTCGATTGCGGCGACATCTCAGGGAACTGCTCCAGAAAAATTCTGGCCCCAGCAAACTGTCCACCACGTCTGCACTAGCCACTCCATACGCTTCAAGCGCGCACCGGGCAAGTGGAACGTCGCAACAGCGGCCAACGCCAGCACATTGATTTGGACCAACCTGCTGTGATTGCTCAGGCTTCCACGGGGCCTGCCCGATCTCCTTCACACAAAGACACCCTGTTCCAGATGCGGGGAATAGTCAAGCTCCAAGTTTCTCCCCTCGCTTCACGAAAGCCGAGCTAAATTCATAGCTCTGCAGCACCGCTCTCCAGCCTTGGCCATAACTCTCCCAGCATTCAACACGCTCTCAATTCCCTCGGATTTCTGCCATAGACGTCTGTCCACAGCATAGTCCTATCCCTCGCCTTAGGAAATCTTCCTGTCGTATTCGCTGCGGTCGGAAAAGGCTGGTCCGGGTTCCGATCCATCTTACATTTCTTTTTCCTGCTGTTTGAGAATCTTCATTTCCTTCTGACCCCTCTTTCGTTTTCACGAGCTGAGGCTCGACATTTCATACCACCATGGAGGCCAATGGCGTATTCACGCCCAACATGCGCGCTGTTCCCACAGGCGCCTTTATATCCCCGCATAGAAAGACTAACGGTGTGGGTATTCAGGCTGAGGACACGCGGATATGCGTCGTCATGGTTGGATTGCCCGCACGTGGAAAGAGCCTGATTGCGCAAAAAGGTAGGCTTCACCCGCCTACTGTCCAGAATATTACTAACGCCTTCGATTCCCAGTCGTTCGTTACCTGCACTGGTTGTCAATAACGGCCAAGACTTTCAACGTCGGCCAGTACCGCCGCACTGCGACTCCTAATCCCTCCGCAGAGTTCTTTGATACCTCAAATCCAGAAGGAGAGCGTCTCCGGAAAGCTGCAGCGGAGGCGGCGGTGAACGATATGTGCAAATGGTTTGCTGAAGGGCGTGGACTAATTGCGATATTGGATGCTACCAACTCGACCAAAAGCCGACGTAGATGGATACAGGAGCGGTGCGCGAAGGAGAATATAGAGACCCTGTTTGTGGAGTCAAAATGCGATGACGAGGACCTGATCATGAGCAACATTCTTGAAGTCAAGACAACGTCGCCGGACTATGTCGGCCAGGATCCTGAACTCGCTGCAGCCGATTTCCGCAACCGCATTCGAAACTACGAGAAGGTATATGAGACTATCGACGAGGATGAGTATGATCTCACCTACGTTAAGTTGATCAATGTTGGCAAGCAGGTCATCATCAATCAGATTCAGGACTACCTTCAGAGCCGAGTTGTTTATTATCTGATGAACCTCCACATTAAGCCGAGGTCGATCTGGTTATCTCGGGTGAGTCTCAAGTCCAGCCCATTTGTGACCTTTTTAACAACCTCAGCATGGTGAATCAAAATTCAACTTAGAAGGAAAGATTGGAGGAGATGCGGACATTTCCGACCGAGGCGAAGCTTATGCCCACGCCCTTCCAGGTCTCGTGGCGAAATCCGTTGGCGATGGTCGCAAACTTACTGTGTGGACCTCTACTCTAAAACGTACGATTCAGACTGCTCGCTTCCTTTCCTTTGAGAAACTAGAGTGGAAAGCTCTCGATGAACTGGATTCCGGTGTTTGCGACGGCCTCACTTATGGAGAAATCGAGCAGAAATACCCCGAAGACTTCAAGCAACGAGACGAAGACAAGTACAATTACCGCTATCTTGGTGGTGAATCTTACCGAGATGTGGTGATTCGCCTCGAACCTATTATCATGGAGCTAGAGAGGAGCGAGAACATCCTAATTGTCACTCACCAGGCCATCCTTCGATGCATTTACGCATATTTCATGAACGTCCCACAAGAGCAGAGCCCATGGATGGAAGTTCCTCTCCACACGTTGATCAAATTAACGCCCAAGGCCTATTCGACACAAGAAGAGAGGCTCAAGGCAGATATTCCAGCTGTAAGCACATGGAGAGGAAAGGGCAGCAGTGCCAAACATCAAGAGGCCGATGGCAGCACATGATGTCATTGTTACTGTCTTAGGGTGTCGGATGAGCATGATAGAGTTACCGGTAGCTAAGCGGAGCGGAACTGCTGAGTTATGGCTTCCGCATTTAAGAGCGCCTTCGCGCCGAAGAGTTTGAGTATGATCACTCCTTTGTTGATTTCTTCTACAGTATCATAAGGCATGGTCGGATTAAGAGATTTTCACTTCACCGTCAAGCACAGGTTGGCGTACAGCATAGATTGGTACTCGCGAACACCCCTCTCGTTCCTCTATAATCTTGGCGGCTCTGTATATCCAGGTGCATTTACAGTGGGCATGGCGTATGGTTGTTTGCGCCCTCCATCCGATCTCAGGCTTGGAGGTTTGTTGTATGCCTATTTCCTCCTCTGTGGGTGTGTTATCGGGCTTTGGCAATGTCTTGCTCGTGTCGTAAACATGTCGATGGTCTAGATAGTTGGTAATTGATTCCTCTCCGTCTCTCCGAAAATTCTGTCCTGTATATGTAAGGATTTTTGCATTCGGCAATGTGCATCGATATTCAGCGATTTATGTACTACATTGTTCACTTCTGGGTAAGTACTTGAGCCTCTTCTCTCTGCTAAAGTGCCACTATAGACTTAGGAACCCCCTCATTGAACTTCGTTGCCGCCATCGTTCGCCACAGCCAGTGTCTAGCTCAGCGTTCCACGTGTTTTGGTAGGAACCGGCGTCTCAATGCCTACCTAGGTTAGTATAAGATGGCCGAGAGCCAGGGTAGCCGGCCAAAGTATTCTTAATTGCGAAACTATTCATGCCGTCTTAAGGCCCTTAGGACCAGTAGCAATTGGCGAAACTCAGCTTCCTTATTCAGGGCGATAAAGTCTCGAGGCACTCCTACCTGGGTTTGAACGGCACAAGTCTCCTTGACCAAGGCCACACCCGCCGAACTGAGACGACACATCCTTACCGCTTTAAAGTCTTCTGCCACGCGGTGTCTCATACCTCCCTCCCATAGACTTTGACATACCCGCTACTAAGCCGCGGACCCCCGAAGGGCTCATCGGCTTGTCATACGGACCGCGCCGCGCTATCCCTCTCTACTACAATATCGTCGTCGACCTAAGCCACCATTGGCCTAGTTACGCCATCGTTGGGAGGTAATGGACACAATTCATGTGGGTGTGCATGATGTTGAAGACCGCCCCCTGGTGGCCTTGTCCTGGTTGGCACCTGGGCACAGACAGGTAATGAATAGACCATTATTGTCGAAACGGTAGGCATCACCCAGGCGCACCTGTATCGCCATTGAGTTGTGTTAAATACTTTTACCCGTATCGACACCATTTTGAAGCTTTTAAAAGCTTTATTTCTCCCAGCGTCGTCTAAAACAAATACTGGCACTAAATAAATAACGCTTTCTATGCTATGCGGAATAGCCACGTTGACCAATGGTGTGGGAACATTGACGGCTGCATGTTTTAATCTCTGCTCATCAAGATGATTAGCTGCTCTTCTTGTCATGTCTTGTGTAGGCCGGCTTGTTAGACCAACATTGCCTACTGTTGGGGGGCATTTCTCGTCATATGCCGTATAGGCTCACTTTTTCTAACCATGGCTCCCCCTCGTCACAGGCACAGCGGACACTTCAATTGTACATAAATTTTGGGCCTTCAGAACTATTTTCTCCCATATCGTACACTACATTATCCTGTCTACGATTGTATCTGGAACATCACCACTCTTCTCACCACTTCAAAGCACCACTTCCTCTTTCGGTGCATCTACTGCGCCAGCTTGTTCCTCAATTCCACTAACATCATTTCAACCCTCTCCTCACAAGCCACCCACCAAACACAAACAAGCAGATACTATCATCAAAATGTCTCCTAAAAAAATCCAATCTAGCTCCCCATCTTCATGCATCCCCACCCCTAACACTAGTTCCGATGACTTCCTCAAGGAGCCGTCCACTCCTTCCCAGGTGGGGAGCCAGCAGGCCATGACCGCAGAGGATGTCGAGGAACAGGATAAGGCTGCTGACATACTTATGCAGCTTTGGCGCCACCATGCCATCGAAGCAGATGTGGAGAGTGCGGAAGCAACTCTCGCTGCACGAGGGGCCCGAGACATCACTCTGAGTCCTCCACCAGAGATGCCCCCACCCCCTCGTCCCTCTCCCACCACTCTCGAACCCCTTTCCAACGCCAAAGGAGGAAAGAAAAGGAAGGCAGCGCCAAAAAAATGTGCACCTTCCAAGAGCCAGAAAAAGGGTCCGTCACCACCTCCCCCAGGATCTGGATCCAGGTCCAATGGCAAAGGTAAACAAACCTTGCCTAACGCCCAGTCGGGCACCACAGGGGCGACTAGTTCTACTCAGGCCAGCACCCGGAGCTCGGGGAGAACTTCTAGTAGAGCTCGGGTGGGAGTAAGTTCTTCTCCTTTTCACCATCCTAAACGCTCCCAGCCCTGCTTTACCCCTGCTATGCCTTGCTGTCACAAAGACAAGCTGACTCTGGATAAGCAGGATACCACCGGTGAGCGATGGGCAGAACCCTCCTCCCTCGGCGCAAACCAGCACGACTTGCGAACTCCGGCTCCAATACAATGTGTTATCGATCCCTGCAAGGAGCCAGTAAGGTCCAAGGATCAGTTCTCCACCAAGGACTCCTACTCCTTGGCCAAGGGGTATCGCTTGAGCCAGGAAAGAGACTCCATAGCTCTTGGCGCCGACGCCCATCTCATCAAGAATTGGAACACCCCTAGTGTACGCCGGGCATCCGACTCGTTCAGGTATATGCTGAAAAGGCACGCAAAGGGTGATGGGGAGACCATGACTATTGTCTTCAGATACCCAAGTGAGAGAAAGAAGGTCGACTCATTAGTAGAGCACTTGGGGATCCCGGAGCCGCCTAAGCAGTTCTATCCAAGGGATGTGAGGCTTGAAGCGTCGAGGAGGAAGGAACGGCCGGAATTGAAAGGCTTAGGGGTGTATATACGTCGTGAGGATGAGGAGGAAAAATATGAGGATGATGGGGATTGGGATGGGGGTGAGGATCTGAAGGGGAAGGGAAAGAGAAAGAAAAGCCCGGCAACGAAGGCGAAGGAAAGTGAGGGGAGTGCAGGGGAGTCCGGGGAGGCTAAGAGGAAGAGGAAGAGGATCAAGTGAGAGAACGCCTCCTTTGTCTGGGGTGATTTTCGTTGCTTTAATGAGCGTTCACAGTCATTTCGAGGACTTTTGTATGTGTTGCTTGAGTTTGTTGGATTCCTCATGGAGTTGCTCTGCTTGTTGTTTAGGGCTTCATACAAGTTTTTGTTCGGGTGTTTCCTTAGCATGTCATGATAAATCCTTATTGGGTGTTTCACTGTTCGTTTCCTCGATGGATGGAGTTGAAACTACCCCTGCCAACGAGACGCAAACACAACTGGGCACAGATTTGGTCTCCTTCCCGCTCCGATTACTCGCTTCCACTTGCCCAATCTAATGCGCCTCTTTGTCACCCCGCGCTTTCCTCCCCTCCACCATGCAATACAAGTACATCTTCCTCCCACCAATCCACGCCCGCCCAAACTCAACACCAAAAACCTCACGATGACACCCCAGCCACCTCCTCAACCAACCCTGGGGCAACCGCCCTCCCTCTCCACAACTCTAAACCCTCCATCGGGGCCCAGCTCTCCCCAGGCAAGCAACTCTGCATTCACACGAACCCAAAGATCGGCCCAGGCACGCAATAAGCCCTTCAGTACAGCGAGCACTCTTCTTGCAGCCTCCACTTCCGCCGAGACGCAACGAGGGAAGAGCGAAGTACTCGGCGGGCCAAGCATGGATACATACGAGCAGGCGCAGTTGAGGAATCAAGCGGCGGAGATCTTGGAAAGTGTGGAGTTGTTGATCTGGTATTCTGCAAGTAGGAATGAGGTACGGCATCCCCCTGTGCAGACACCTTATTCCCTCGACTAGGGACGCATACCTACCAGTTGCTGTTAATGCCCCCTTCTCACTGTCCTGTACCTCGCGTTTGGCAAATAATCATTGATACCTAATGCTGACGGACTCGTGCGCATGGCAGAGTATCTCGCAAACACGCCACCACTTCCAAAACATCGTGTTGGGCCTATCGGATCGCCCCTCCTCACCCTCCATGTCCACCCCCTCCATTACCTGGAAAGAAGAATGGGAGATCCCCCTCTCAGACCGCATACCTGGTTCCTCCAACAGCACAATGAAGCGCGGTCAGCCCAAGGACAAAGGCAAGCGGAGGTCCTACAAGCCATAGGTAGAGATATAGTGGGATGGGGATATTTGGCCGACACTCGACACCAGTCTTAGGTCCGGATTCGGAAATTATTGTCGATCTACCATATCTGCGGCGGCAAAGAAACAACGTTAAAGGTGGTTTGTGGCTGTAGGGGGATGAGGTGTGGCACGCTATCGTGGCTAGAAAAATGAGTTTTGCGGCCATAGATTTCGGAATCCCGTAGCTACAAGCTGGGAAGAATTATTCTTTCATTGCGTAGATTACATATATAACAAAGCTTTGGTAGGCTAGGTTTGCGATTCAAGAGTGCGTGGCAAGCACAGATTATAGCGTAGTATTATACCCCGGGCATTGATATCGCCCCTTTCAGATATTATCGAGGTTTAGATTCTGTCAAAGCAAGCCAATGAAAGACATGTATCATTGTATTTTAATTCTTTTTACATGCTAATTTATGTATCGATTACCATCCATCCATTGCCATCGCCACAACCATTTTCTCTACCCAACTCAGAAAGGCAAGCCACTAAAGCTCAGGAAGCATCAGAATGTGGTCCTATATACAAAAATATCGATATCCAGTCCGCCAGTCCCTGTCGATGCATCCATATTCCCAGAAGCCCGTCAGAGGCACAATAGATACAAGAATCAGCATCTAGGTCTTTTTCATCTAGCCCTTCCTTCCAAACACCAACTCCGCCAGCACACCAACATACTCACCAACAACCCAATCCACCACCCTACAGCCCCTCGTCCATGCCCGCATTCCGCCACCACGGTGCGCCAACCCCATTCTCTGCAAACATCTCCTCCGCATCACCAACCTGCCTCCTCTCACTAACTTCTCTAGTCAACTTTCCTGAAAGCTTGAGTCGCATAGCCTTAGACGCCATCAAAGAATTTTCCCTAGCCTTACCGAACGAAGAACTACCACGCGCCAATCCTTGGGATAAAATAGGTTCGCTCGCCGCCCATTCCTCCCTCATGACTGGTAGTTGCTATTGCAAAGGCTCAGACGACGAGGAGAGGCGGTTGAGGTGGAGGTAGACATCCGTACCGTAGCTGATACAAAATACGTCAGATATCTGTCGAGGGAAGATGGGGAGAGAGAGAATTGGCTTACCCTTCCATGCTAATCAGCTTCAGATCGCCGCCAAAGTACCGCGCGTATAGTCTTGAAATGGGCAGTCCATACCCAAACCCAGCCATGGGTGCCTTGAAATCGCTTTTATTGAAATCCGGATCCAGACTCGGTGTCTGGTCTACTGTGGTATACATGTACGTCCAAACGAGCGGAATCGCACTTCTTGGGATGCCACCACCTTCATCGGAGATTTTAATCGTGATGTCTTCCTTCCCCTCTGCTACGATCACTTTCGTCACGGGAAAGTCTTCCTTGTCTTGTCCATGTGTCTCCACAACAGCACGCAGAGAGTTCTTGAGCGTTTCGAACAACATGTGAGATAAATGACCAGGAACGTACATAAAGCTGATATCAGGGTTACAGACGAGTTGGACTTTTGGGGCATCGAAGAGGCCGTAGTGGTCTTCGCAAACGAAGCGCGCGTTTTCAATGGCTTCTTGTGCCAGTTCTCGGACGTTAGTCTTGGTACAGATGATGCCGACGTAGTTGGGATCGGAGCGTTGGCGTTGGTCGGTGAGTGCGATGTGCTGGCCGATGAGCATACGGATGCCGATACGCGACATGTAGAAGCGGTCGAGGAAGGCTTGGATGTTGTGGTCGATTTGCATGCGTTGTCTCTTGCGCTTCCATTCCAGGATCCCTTGGGCTACGGTTGTGACGACGCTGTCGTGCCGCCGCTTGATCTTCTCCAATGTGTCTGCGAACTTGAGGTTGTAGGCACTGAGCTCGGGCGGCCATTCCCCGCCGTCGTCGGCGGCCGCGTAATATCTCCGGCTAGATGTTGAGCCTTTGATCTCGCGGCTGCTTCCGCTGCCATTGCCGCTGGCGTAGTGGTGGTCTGGCGCGGATTTGTATTGCCCCCTCACGATGCTGGGATTCTGGGTCGCCCTGCTGGTCAGGTGTGAGTCCTTTCCGTTCCGTCTTGCGGGCCGCAGGAGTCGCTCCTTGAGGTCGGATGGTAGGCTGGGTCGGGGGAGGTCCACGAGCTCCTGTGCATATGAGTCAGAATGTCTCGAGTGAGTCTGGCAATCCAACCCACCTCAAACGATTGTGCATACCAGTCTCGCACTCGGCCAATCGAGGGCATCTCATTTAGGCCATCAGGAAGGTCATGGAGCTCTTGGACGCGGTGGGCTAATCGGATGGGTAGCTCTTCAGAGAGGAACTGTGAGGCACGGAAGAGGGTTCCCGTGGACGGCTTCTCGCCGAACTGCACCATCTGCCGTAGAGACACACCTGAACTGCCATTAGACGTGGCTCGGAGGCAGTTTGGGGAGAATACACACCGGTGGCAGGGAAATTGCTATAGTGCTACAAGACGATTAGCAGGTGAATTGCACGTGGGTGAAGTGACATGGCGCACCTTGATGGTGTCCATCAGCTTCTCTGACCGCTTCCACGACATGGCGCCAATTGATCAAGGCCGAACGGCCTCGTGCACTGCGACAACGCCAAAGCGAGGCTTTGTGGTGGTGGGTCGAACGATGCCCAGAAGCTCGCAGAACAGATTCCGCCCCACTATGACGCTGGCTCAAAGTGAAGGGTAGAGGGTGTTTGTTGCGTCGAAAGGAATTAAAGAAATCAAAGAAATCAAAGACGGCTGCTGGCAAGGGTCGAAGCACGTTAAAGGTGGTGGGCTTTGAGGAGTCGTAGTAGAAGTGCACAAGCTGCAATTGGACGTGGGGATGGTTGAGCACTTTTGTTGCCGTGACCCAGCATGCGCGAGCCATCAGAGCCGGAGAAGCTCCCCACACTCGTCAGCCTCTCCCGCGCCAGTCGAACCAGTGCTTTCACGTGGGACGCAGAAAAAGCCATTCCTCCAACACGAAACACCGCGCAGGTGACGCGACCGGATTGTGTAAAAGGTCTGCCGCCTCACTTTCTGTGCCCGCCGCATGTTGTCCGGGGGCCTGGAGCAACGGCGCCCTCCGCGAGCAGCGAGTCCTGGAAACAGCTCAGAACCCAGAGCTCGTTGAAGCTCCAGCCACATGATGCGGGCAACGAGAATCCTCGGCAAGCGGTCCTGGTCGCTCTCAGCCTGCATCCACCATCGGACGGGACCAACGGAAATGCCATCATTTGTCCCTGGCAGCTTCCACAGGGCCGAGGTGCTCGCGTGAGTGACCAACCCATTCTTCCTCCGCTGTAATTGGCTGCTTCTGTCTCCGTTCGGCTTCCCGTTTGTCAGACCTTGTAAAGGTATTTTCAGTCGTGGGTAGTCCCTGGGCTGGTTCGAGCGCAGCTGAGGCTCTTGCACATGGGCCCTTTCGACATTTCATGACGTGATAACTCCATATCTGGTCAAAGGCAATAAGCCGAAGACCCGATCTACTTTGCGGTGCAGGGATTTCAGTTCAGTTCAATGGCTTGGGATAAAATGGCTAGGAATAGTTCACTCCGCTTGTCGCAGCTATGACAACTCGCATGAAGCAGCCGTAGGAAGAGGAGAATGGTATTTCGAATGTGCCGCTAAGACCTAGACCAGCCCCACGCTGCACCAGATACGAAACACGCTCTTGCAAAGTACACAAACATATTTTTACACATGAAGAAGACGCGCACCACCGCCTTTGTTTATCATACGTCTATCGAAGGCCTGTCCTGATGGTACATGGTTGGACGTAAGAGAGCTCTTGGGGCAATTAAGGGAGAATCGTGTCGAAAGATAAAGGATAGACATCCAGATGGCCATGGAACGTCTATTTAGTCTCCTCCTTGAGGAAGGTGATGAGGTCATTTCGGTCCTTGGGCTTCTTGAGCCCACCGAAAGCCATCTTGGTGCCAGGGATGTACTTCTTGGGGTTTTCTAGGTATTCGAACTGGAGCGCTCTTAGAATTAGGGAGTCACCACGTATCCTCCAGGTCGACTTACCAGAGTTCCCTCGTCCCAATGGACACCCTTCTGCTTGTTGGCGTCCGTATATGAGAATCCCTCGACCTGGCCGGACTGTCGCCCGAAGATACCGTGGAGGTTGGGGCCGATCTTGTTGCCCTCACCCGACTTCAGGGTGTGGCATTGTGCACACCGCGTCTGCTGGGCGTTAGAAAATTTCGGAGGCAACCCGCCGGGTGATGAGCCATTCTACTCAAAGGGTGCGGAGTCGTACCTTGAAGAGGTTGGCACCCTTCTTGTGGTCGCCTGTGGAGATGTGTCAGCGCAATGCATGGTAATGACGAGAAGTCAAGTGAAGCGAGCCTCCGTCCATCGCGCTCGCCTCTCCTGATCGCAACACTGCGATAGCCATCTCCCAAGCTTCATCTCGAGTGCCGCTCCATCCATTGCGTGGATCATGGCGATTCAAGCCACTGGAAAGCAGTTTCGTCGAGATGGTTGAGTTCAACGACGAAGAGGCTGTAGCGAGGCGGAGGAAAGGTGGATGACGTTGAGGGGCTTTGGAAATAACGTACCGGCTTCGAAACCCATTGTGCTGAAAGAAGAAGATGATGTCGAGAGAGAGGATTGATGGAGGGTCCGGGAGAGATATTGTCGACGTGAATTGGGGTAGTTTGATGGACTGAGTGAGATGTGAAAGGGAAGAAAAATGCTGAGAGCCGGGAAAGAAAAAGGCGCTGGCGCCGTCATGCCGGGCTTTGCATCAGCATCACGTGCACTGCCAGCCACATCTCGTGGCGTTGCTTGCACCAATCATGCAGAGCAAATTTGCAACAGCCTCGGAGAGAATCGGAATCGCCAATCGGGAATCGCCTCCTGCACCATCTTGCCATGCAGCGCCAACATCGTCATGCCTCGAACATCGAAATCAAGGACTTTTCCACCCTCGATTCCTGTTTACGTTGCTCTCTCTACCCACACTCCTCTCTAGTTCCGCTCAGAGCAAAAGCAACGATGCTCACGCCTTATTCAGCGAACTGCGGGTCAGAGTACAGCCTTTGGGCAGCCTTGACTTGTCATTATCACACATCCCGTCTTTTTGCCATCCGCGCTTGCAGGCAGCCCCTTCGCCGCTTCTAAGACCTTACTACTACTTCGCAACCTTACAAGTCTCGTGATTACACACTCTTACTGATACCACCTCCCAAAGTGATAAATTTTTGCCAAGAAATCATCGCCAGCATCTCCAGAGAACCCCCTCCCCCAAGCAGCTTGTTGTCGGCACCTCGGATTGCTCTCACCCTTCCGCAGCCAGGTCCGCATCACAGGATCATGAATCAAATCCCCGATGTTCTGTACGCAGATCAAGATTTCACCACCTGGCTCATTGTCGGCGCCAGCAGAGGTATCGGCCTGGAGTTTGTACGGCAGTTACTAGCCAGGGGTGAGCGTATCATTGCCACAGTTCGCGAGCCCTGGGCTTCCCATGCATCTGGCCTGTGGGGCCAAGCCGGCAGCGATCATGGCCGCTGCCAAATGTACATATGTGATATATTGTCCGAAGATAGCATTGTTGTACGATTCCGCCACTGGCCGTCATCATTCTCGTATCACTTAGAATGAACTAACTTGGGACAGAAATTTGTGTCTCAACTCGCCGCGATACCAAATCTCAAGCTCGATTATGTAGTTCTCAATGCTGGAGTCTTAAGATACCCCAATGTAAGCCACACGCATGTCGTCTCAGGGCCTGCACTAACCCTGACAGAGATCGACTGAACTGTTCGTCTTCCACTAATCCTGTCCCGAGTATACCCGAGGTCCTAGATGTACCTGAGTGGACCTCTTGGTGTAGGCTGCTAACAAATGCCATAGTTCCTTTGACGAATTTGCGTTCCACCTCCACACTAATACCATTGGTCCCATTATCACAGCTCAAAAGTTGCTCCAGACGAACATTCCCATCGGTACCATCGCCTTCATGTCAAGCGATTCTGGCTCCCAAGGCAACTTCCGTGAGATAGAGGACGGCTTCGCCGCATATGCAGCTTCTAAATCTGCCCTAAACATGGCAATTCGACATATGGCTGCCGAACTGAAGAGAAAGGATGACGACACAATCATCCTAGCCATGCACCCAGGAGAGGTTGCAACGTGAGTCGATCAGATATTCCTGATGTTCCTGTTGTTCTCCCTCTATGCTGACCCGTAATCAGAGATATGGCCAACATCAATCTACCGTGGGAGGTTCAAGGTATAATCTCGCCAGAGGAATCCGTGATGAAGATGATGAATGTAATTCAAAGCAAAGGCCTTCAGCATAGCGGAACTTTCTGGACTTGGGAGAATAAGGTCAGTCTTGTGGTCGCTCAAAGACACGTCACAACTAATCATTCACAGCCGTATGTTTGGTGACGCTGGCGCAAGAACTGCCCTGTGGATTCAGATTTACTCATATTGGAGAAAAGCCCATCATCTAGCACATATTATGACACATAATGAAAATGCCTACTCACTGACCAATGACTTTCTTCATTATATGTCCACGAAGATCCGGTTGTCACTACACCACCATCTCCAGCATTCGAAACCCTCGTCCAATCCAGCCTACCGAACTCCAAGCCCCGGGCGCCTGAACTTTCAACACTCATAAGACTCCCCAAACACCCTCCTCAAAACCCCGTATCTCAATATCATCGTACATTCCTCACATGTGAAACCTCCAGTTCAAGTCAACTGACTTTATTTTCCACCTGCGTAGAAAATCAAATCTCCCCAAACGCACCCCTCAAAAACTCCGTATCCCACTCCGCCCTTTCCTCATCCCTGGGTAGCTTATATCCCAAAGGTCTCATCTCTTTGTTCTCGACCTCTTTCTCAGGCACATACCTGTCTAGTAGCCTATTACCTTTTTTACTCAGCCTTAGCATTTGAATCGGACAGAGCGGCAAATTACATTGCGGGTGCCATTTACGAATCCGTGGGAGACTAACTTCTCGCACAGATGTCTCCAGCGTATGGAGAAAGCCGCAAGAGATGTTGCGGTGGGGTCTGCACCATCCTTGGTGATACCAATAGAAACAAATTTTACCGTCGAGGATTTTGTAGCGGAGGGGCGCTTTTGGCGCTACTGGGGCTTGTAGGGATAGTGTGATGGGAAGGAGTGTCGGTAGGGTAGGTGTAAGATTTGAGGGGTGGGTAGGGAGCAAATGGGATGGTGTGAGAGTGATAGAGTGAGCTGGGTTCGAGGCTCCTGAATCACCCTGTGTGGTCGGCTGATTGCCAGTGTGGAGTGTGCCGGGGTAGCTGATGGAAGATAGACCTTTGTCCTTCTCGGATTCGATCGCGGCTACTTCTTCTGTGTTACTAGAACCCAAGGGTGAGGAAACTAGAACATTCATAGGTACGTTCGATTCCGGCGATGAGCTTGCCAGACTCAACGGCGACGATCTCTCCATGCTCATATATCCGTCTTCAGCTTCTGTGTCTGTGTTGGTGTTACATCCGCAGGTATTCGCGCTCTCTTCTTCTGTAGGACTACTCACACCATCCACATCGGTACCACCCATACTCGCACGTATACCCGCATGAAACAAATTATTCGTCTTCTCTTTGCCGGAATCTCGGTCACTGTTTACATTCTCCAAACTCCCCTTCGCAAAAACCTCCATACCGTCTCTCAATGGACAAAGCGGAAGATGACACGGTTGCCGATGCACATACCCTGGTGGCGGCGAAATCGGCCATGTGATATGCACTTCATGTGCTCGTTCACAGTTCTCGCCTCGCCGGCACGCACTCCCATGGTACCAGAAGAAGCACGTTTCCCGTGGGGGACCGGGAGGTGCTGGAGAAAAGGGTTGGTAGGCTGGTGAAGGCTTGTCGGACATCTTGGTGTCCAAGTCCGGCTTCATGATCGGATGTGAAGGGACTTTGTACCGAAGTGGAAGCAAGTTGGCTGAATATTCATGCCCACCTTCTGGTTCCCAAGTCCTCTTCACCTGATGCATTATCCTCCGAATTGAGGGCGCATTTACGCTTCGAGACGGATAGGAAGGCAGGCAGCCTAACCGTGGCTTCTGAGTCTCATGTCTCCACTTACCCCATCTTTCTCTCCTTCTCTTCATTCTTGCCCTTTTACCATGCTTCTTCAGCTCAAGCTGATGAGTATCTTGCATACTAGCCATGGGCTCTAGAGAGATGCCCAGTGGTGGCAGGACATTGTGTGAGTGTGAGTACTGTGCTGGGCGGCCTTCGAGGGTGTTTTCTTGTTAGTGCTGACTGTTAGGGTAGGTTCTCGGGGACTGGAAACGGAGTGCAAGGAGACGTTAATAAATGTTATGACTGAATGTTGAAGGAAACTGGACTAGGGGACCTTCGGGGCCGAGTGATAGAAATGGTGTGGAACTGACCGAATTGTACTGCTACCTCAACTCACCTTCTTTAAGAGTATTGATTCCAAGAGCGGTCTGGGGAGGATGAAGGTGGATAGTGGTTGCTGCGGGTGCAGTTGGAAGACCCCAGAACCCCGGGCATCCGCATACACCGCCGTGAAGAGTGAAGAGAGAGTGAGTCCGGGGATCCATTTGGTAAATCAATGTCGACTGAAGAGACCAGAGTGGATGCAGCGGTTATAAATGAGGCAGTGGGAAAATAGAGAAGAGAAAGAATGCGGAGAGTAAATGAAGAGGTCAGGCCATCTGGCTATATGACTCTAAGATTGGTGAGAGGTAGTGAAGGTAAGGAATATCGGAAACCCGGCTTGAGACACTAGTAGTTGTGTATGGATGGAGTAGCTGGGTTTTGAGGCAGCACGATACACCAGTAAAGGTCGAGGGAGTTGAGCATATATACTAACCGCAAACGAAGTCGGCCACAGGAGTGAGAGAAGCACTAATGAACGTACTTGTAGGTAGAGAGTGCTCAGAAATAGCGCTATAGACGTTGCTAGACTACTGAGTTCAAGGACATGAAAGCTATGAACGAGCGATTTCAACTACCTTTACCACACCTTGCTAGTGACAGTCGAGGCGATCTTCAATGCAGCCCAAGCACCAACTCCCAACACAATAAAGAAAATACCGAGTGCCCGAAGATTTCGCATCTCAACGCTTGAGCTGCCGAGTTTAATCTCACTCGGCGTCCCCATATCCGTCACGGTTGTATACTCGGGGACATATTTGAAATCAAACAATGTCTCCGTTCCCGCAAGTCCGTACTGGCTTTCTACGATAACAGCGTAGAATATCTTCTTCAGACTCGCTATGTGTCGTCGGTCCAGCCAGGGTATTGAACGGTATGTGTAACACATAGTCATGAAGAAAAGGCACTGGCCAGCCATCAATGCCCAGTAGTAGATCGATACACGGGGAAGGCCTAGCTTATCACCGAGATCGTTCCCGTTGAGCCATCGTGCGCTAACGATTAGCATATTTGGGGAGACATATGTGGGGGGCTGTTTTTCAAGGCTGCGGATAATGTTGTTTGCTAAGATCCTCGACATCTCGGAGGGATTGACTTCGTGGTAGAGAAGGGATTCCATAACAGCTTTGGCTTTCGCGGGTGTCTCGAAATGGTCAGTGGGTGTGCCGAGAAGATACCCAATGTACCGCCATAGAGCAACGTAATCGATCTTTTCTTGTTCTCGGAGAAAGAGACCTTGCCGTGGGAAGCTTATCCAGATCAGGGTTGCGCAGAAGGTACCGATTGTGGCGATTTGGTCGAGATCGTTCACGGGAATACCCCATTCTTCAACGCTGTAGTAGCTCGGTCGTTGTTTGGCCAGCTTCAGTATACGCTGACGTACAGCGGCGTGTAAGAGGCGGACGCGGATAGATGAGGCATGACCAGCTCCTCCAGGTTGTATAGACTCTAACGACTTCGTGCATTGCAGAATGTGCTGTGTCGTCTCGAACAGCCTTCTTCTCGCGATTTTAGTTGAAAACCCTCCTGTACGAGCAAGCGTTTCTACGACACGCGCAGCTCCCATACCCCCAAGCAGGGACTGATACGTAAGGCCGGTTAGGGCCGGGCCACCATAACGATAAAAGACATCCTGGCCTCTTTCTATCTGTGCCCAGTCAACCCAGGGTGGTATCGTGTTCACCTCTTCCCAGAGCTGTGAGAGTTTCGGATCCTCAGTGTAGTGGTCGTGGAGCAAAATATACATATCCCGTTGCGGGAGGGGAAGACCTTCGTTCTTCTCCTCATCCGCCTCTTTCAGTTGAGGAATTTGCTGGCTGTTGTTCCTGGGTAGAACGCCTTTATCTAGTGGCGAAATAGCCTTGAGTCGATCAAGACACTCCTCTCCTAGCACATCATAGGAGTGTTGGAGGGGTTTTGCTTGTTCTAGAGTTAGATGGTCTTCGGTCCATTCAAACTCGTAGCCCCAACAACTTGTACACATTAGCATAGTGTCTCTTCAACATAAGCATTTGAATTAATCCATCTTACTGTCTGGTATGCTCCGAACGTCGACGGAAAGGATTGGGAATTGCCATAGTCAGCGTGCACAAATGTATGATGAAAAACTTTGCATAAAAAGGAAAAAATTACAAGATAGGACGTGAATAAAAGGTCATATGGTCTTCTACATTAGTAATTTCAGACTATTTCCCAGAGACTGTCATATGATACCGAGGCGCTCGGGCCATGCGGTGGAGATTGGCTAGGATGTATCTCTCTGCGGCAAAGGCATCGTAGCGCCTCTTTATTGCCTATCATGAATCCGTGGGGCAATTTAGAGAGGAATTGTGCGTTCCGAGACGGAAATAATGAGGCTAGGGCGTGGATGGGGACGCAGAAGATTTTGTGGTCCTGTGGTTGCTGTGGCGTAGGATCTTGGCAACGCGGAATTGGTCCATGCTGATACTCTTCCGTGAAAGTTGGGTTAGGTGGAAGATCCTCTCCCATCGCAATCTTCAGCGGCAATGAATTGCTACTCCTGCTCACAGAGGGCATTTGGACTTTTCATTCGATCGTTTATTAATGCCGAGCTGAAACATGTTCCTCGCCCAACTTCCTCGTGTTCCCAGAATTCGAGATTCTTCTCCTCCGAGCGAGGGTTACGAGACGAAGACCATACACCGATAGCACCCCAGCAGAAGCTCGATTCGTCGGCACCGAACAGAGTTCGTAAATATAAACAGACCATTGCGGATCACATAGAACCGCCGAGAGCAAAGTTCGAAGCGAGCGGGAGCAAGCCCCGACTGTCATGGCAAATACAAAAAGCTGCATTGAAGGAGAAGCTCGGAGGTGAACCCTGGAGCCCAAGAAAGAAGCTCTCACCAGACGCTATGGAAGGCATACGGCATCTAAACGCGACCGATCCGACACGCTTCACCACGCCGATCCTCGCCGAACATTTCAAGGTCTCGCCGGAGGCCGTCCGAAGGATACTGAAGAGCAAGTGGAGGCCCGCAGATGAAGAGCATGAAGAGCGGTTGAAGAGATGGGAAAAGCGCGGGGAGCGCATATGGTCGAACTTGGTGGAGTTGGGGGTGAAGCCTCCAAAGAGGTGGAGGGAGATGGGCGTGGGCAGGACACGGAATGGTGAAGCTCCGATGTGGAAGTCATTGAAGAGGAACTTGGTTTCTGTGAATGATAGTGTGGATGTGGACGAGGATATTATTCCGATTGTGGGTACGAGTCCTGGAAGTGCTCGACGGTCACAGTGGCAACAGGCTTCGTTATCACAGCGTTTAATGTAATGCAAGATTGTACGAGAAGGGATGACATATAGATGGAATTGTAACGATTACTGAAGGAGTATAATGGCTATCTTTATTCGGGTGACTGATTTGGATGCTCTTCCGGGTCTATGTCAATCAACCCTCCAGCATATTGTCTCTAATGAATACACTTAGTGATCTTGCTCTTCTACGAAGCTCTAATAACACGAGCTAGAGTAACTTCTAATGCAGCAGATATATACAGAACGCGAGCATTGTCGTCCGGCAACATCAGCGACGGGATTACAGCCTTAATTTCATCCATCTGTACCTGAAGGAGCGAATTGGGCTTTGCACTAACCCTTTTTGGTCATTATTCGGAACAAAGTACTTCCATGTCGTGCACGTGCCGCAACCAGACCCCGAACTGCATCACCGCTTGATCGGGATATTCCTAACTTGTCTGCAACGGGACCCTTTCTGGCCTTCAATCCGAGCACTGCCACTCCGTAGATGCATGGCAGCGATCATGTCGACTAACAGAGTTGCAGTCGTCCGACCCCGCCCATGAGCAACAAGCAATCCTCCTGCGGCCAACGTCCGCTCCTTCGACCACGCTCATCCCTACCATGTCCTCGAACATTCGCGTATTCGTGCAATGGAAAGAACCCACCGTGTTCGCTGGCGAAGACATCGAATGTACAATCATCTTCAAGAACATAACCCCTCCTAATGGCCCAGAACGGTCTCCTGTCCGATCCTCAAAACTCAATGGCTTCCCCTCTAGTGGGGACAGGCAACGCAAGCTACCCCCTGTGCATTCCTCGACCACCCGGCCCTCCATCTCCCATAATTCCTCTTTCGGGTCTCAAATGTCGCCTCCACATCTTCGCGGACACAGACCGGCATTGTCCTTGCATACTCCTTCGACTGCAGCGGACCGCCGTTCACCAGTTCAACCCAGCGGAACAGTCAATGGGAGCGTGGCACCCAGACACAAACATGGAAGGTCACTGTCGATAATATCTATTGGGACTGATCCAGCTACTGAAGTCAACTACGATCGGGGCGCTGCCTCGAGGCGGCCAATTCGAGGCCATGGCAGGTCAGCAAGCCTCCAAGTCATGCCAGGTCGGCCAAGCCCCTTTGCAGGTACTACCAATACTCTTTGTACAGTGTATTGAAACTGATGTTATCATAGTTGGTTCTCCCGGCCACCGCTCCGCAACCCATCATTCCCCTCTTATGGGCGGCGCTTCCTCCCCTCCTATAATCCACGAGCCCACAAATGAATTCCCACTACCCATGCGACCGCCTCGCAGAGCAACTGGTATTTCCACCGCTCCGAATACCTCTACGCTTCCAAGTTCACCAAGGAAAGCATCAGGCTCTATTTCACATAATTTCAAATTTCCTGCAGCGCCTCCACCGAACATTCCCTCCCCGGATCCCACCAGCAGCATCGATGTCACAAGCAGTCCACGGGTACGGACCCCACAGCTCCGCGGCAGCTCTCCCAGGCCTCCCGAAGAACCTCCACCGAACCCAACCTTGGAGAATCTCTCCCCGGTCGCTCGAATACTGTCTGGGTCAAGCTTGAACGGAACTCCAAGAAGCAGCGGAGAGTTTTACTCCATGAGCAACAATTCGAGCGAAACTTTGGCGTCCGAATATGTCGCGCAGCCTACCGCACGTCTCCTTCCCCGAGCCATTCATCAACGACATAGTTCCCAATTGGCTCCCCCGAATCCAAAGAAATACCCTGAAACACTTATGATGGGATACGCGCAGGTGATGGGATCTTTCACCCTGGATGGTTCTCTCATCAACCAAGCGCCCTTTGAGGAAGTGAAACGGAAAGGAGTCGTGGGAGGGCAAGGAGGTGGTGGCGTGGTCGGAGTCGAGAGGACGAAACGAGATAGTGGCCTCTTTGGGGCGCTTGGCTGGGGCAATATTGGCGAATCATTGGGCGGATTGCTTGGCGCCTCCGAACCATCAAGCATACGAGAGATGAGGGGAATCGCCAGTTCAAAGACCGTTCCGCTAATAACTACACCACAGTCCATTCTATTTGTCGACCTGCGGTTGGCCCCGGGGGAGAGTCGGAGTTACACCTACAGCTTTACATTGCCTCGAGGTCTGCCCCCAACACATAAAGGACGGTCTATGAAAGTCGCTTACCATTTAACAATCGGTACGCAACGACCAGGTTCCTCAAGAGATCAGCAGGTAAAGCATGTCGACATCCCTTTCCGCGTCTTCGGTAGTGTGAACAGTACGTACAGCTTCATCGAAGATTAGACGTTCACTAACATAGGGGTAGGCCAAGGGGAGATACTCGGACATGACCTGATGTCTCCATACATCATCCTTCGTGACCAAGCCCGAACATCGACTATAGAACCAGATAGGAGCATATCTAACGGATCTACTGCAAAGAAACCCGCTACCGTACCGAGCTCTAATGATTCGGCCTTCAAAGACTTTGTCGACTACGTAGACAACCTGCTCGACAAGCCTCGCTATAACTCTAGCCTAGGGCTCCTGTCCCCGACAGACACTATTCATGGACGCCGTTCAATAGCCGAAGAACCTCATAATATGAAGGAAGCGATCGACCTCGCTATTCTTCGCAGTAACTTGACTAGCGCCGCAAATCAAAGCGCAAACCGATTTGAGATTGCACGCAGCGGACGGCGCGTTGCTGTCATAATGCTTGCTCGTCCAGCTTACCGGTTAGGGGAGACTATTTCAGCCATGATCGATTTTACGAACTCTCATATACCCTGTTACTCTGTTCATGTCGCTCTGGAAACATCGGAAAAGGTAGATCCGGCTATAGCACTTCGGTCGAATGCATCTATATACCGAGTCACGCGGAAGGTGCATACATCGTTCTCCGAGAACGCGCTTTTCGCCCAGCGCCTTTCATTTTCTCCTACGATTCCCCCAAATAGCACCCCGGAATTTATTACCAGCGGGGTCAGCTTGGAGTGGAAGCTCCGAATTCAGTTCATCACACCGAGGCTCACGCACGAGGACGGTGAGGAAGCTTTCTGGGATGAGTTGTTGGAAGAGATATCAAGTGATGACCGTGGAATCATATTAGCCGCAGCAGAAAGGCTACCAGCTGAGAGCTTCGAGGTACAAGTCCCAGTGAGGGTTTACGGAGCTGTAAGTGGAGCATCCGAGAACACGGATGAAGAAGGTCTTGCTGTATAAAGACAGCGTTGTACCATCGCCTTTCGATTTGAACAGGGTTTGGGAATAAGACTTCTTAGGGATTGGGAAAGTGGGCTTGGCATGAAGCGAATCTTTCTTGTAGAATACCAGGTTATGAGATCGGAAGTCTCCTTCATAATAGCTTGGATTGGGACTCGTTGTGTATTTGTGTATTCGGCAAAAAGGAAACCCTGTGACCAGCAATGAAATCTTGGAAAGGGTAATAGAATAGGAAAGAACTGTTTGACTCCTCGTTTCAAACCATGTTCAGTTCGCGATTCCGATATTTGTTGAGTTACTACCTAGCTGGATGGTGAAGTCCAACTCAACGTGAGTCTTACCAACGGTATTACGAAAAAAAAAATCGTATTGCAGCATGTGTCCATGCAAATATCTCGCACAGCAAGAGCTAGATGGCAACTCTTTTCTCTTTCCCTCAAATATCGGATACTTTGCACTTTCCACAAGTACATCGTTTATAACTAATCGCCGTATTCCTCACCTAAATTATTGTCTCTCATACATTATCTTTGGCTTCCCAATCTACGCGGACTCGTCTACAACCTCAACCTCTCTTGGCTTGAGCTCCTGTGCCCTTACTGTTCCTTTGAACCGCTGAGAACGCGAATTCGAGCCCACTTCATTCCCATCACCACCGCCACCATAGAAGACAATGCTGTCCATAGTATCGACTGCGGGCAAAGGTGCATCAACGCTGAGAACCTTCGGAAACATGTCTGGCAAACTATGCCTTTCCGGATCGAAAGACTGGGCGAGGAGGTCAAGGCGCTGGAAGAGAAAATGGATAGCCTACGGACTGAGTACAAGGGGATCAAGGTGCGGAATACAGGGGCCATATAAAGTTGCCATACCACGTCTACAATGCGAGCATCGTCAAAGATGGATATGGAAGCCTTGCTTTAGAGCCTTAGTTCCTCTAGAAATTGGTTACTCGGTGTATAGGACGATGGGGCATTTTGCGCTTCTTAAGCAGAAGCGTAGTCAAGAAATTTCGAAGAAAAAGAAGGCGGTCTACATATCCAACTTTGTCGAAGGACGCTCCTCGAATTTGCCGATGACGATAGTTTGCCGGATTCCTTGTTGTTGTTGGAATTAAGGAGGTCGTTAATAAAGCCAAAATTCTTGTCCCGAATTACCCCTAGTATGCTCCGAGGGTTTGATAGAGTTTGGCTTGGGTAGCCAAATGCCCGATGTTGAGGCCGCTCTAAGCTGTATTGACAAGCATACCTTGTTCTCTTTTAAGAAAACAATGAATTTTTTTCATAGCAGTCTGATCCAGAGCATTCAGAGATGAGGTAGGATGGATGAGTGCGCTTAAGGAGATAAGTTGACTACTATAATAGAGCTCCGGAGTGATGAAGTGGGCCGTTGCGCTTATGCTATTCTGGACTAGCATGGGAACTCAATTTAGGATAACCACATCTTCTTTCTATCCTGCATCATTTATCGTTCTGCCCACGCTGTCGGTCTTCTGTAGTAACATGTATGGTGGATGGAACTAGAGATGACCATGGGGCTCACTCTCGACCAATCAAAGCTTGCACATACAGCCTCTCAGCCTTGTGAGTTAATTGACGCCTCAAACATCTGTCCAGCCGCAACGGAGTCATTCGAGATGCTCTATGATACGTGAAAGCCGGCTTCCTCCCCTCTAGACGGGTTTAAAGACTGGTAGGTATGCTTGAATATTGTCCTAGCAATAATAGATTCTGACACTGCTCGAGAGAACGAAACACTCCCGCTTCAATTCCCTTATCTTCCAGCTATGACGTGCTATATGATAGCCTGCCGACAAATCACCAGACATGTACGACCAAGTCCAGTTGACTGTCAGAGAGAAGCGCTATTCCTGTTTAAGAAGCGTTAAACCTACATAAGAAGGTCACTAACCCAAGTAGGAAATCAATCAAGTCAAGTTGGACCTTGAGAACGCCACAAACTTGCTTGTTGACAAGTCTGCAAATCACACGGCGACATGGCGAGCCCACAATTTATGGCGCCTTCGGCATCCTGTCCATCTGTCTGATTGCAATGTGTTTGTGTGTCTGGATGGGGTACACCGGGGCATTCAGGAACACATGCAGAACGGATATTTCTCAGCGCAGATGAGGCAGAAAATATGTGGCTTTATATAGGACTGTTTTCTCCTCTAGTGGTACTTGAGAACTAATGATTGCCTTCAGCTGATGCACCTGAAGTTCGGCATATCGCCTGGGTAGCATTTGAATAGCAAAGGCAACCCTCTTGTATATACAAGCATATGAAATGAGCCCTTAGACAGATACTAGAGCCATACCCACAAAGGCGCTGGTTCTACATATCGCGCTTGATGTGTATGCTATAGAAATGAAAGTTCACAGTACGCTGATAATCTTATACGGTTAGGGGGAGACACACACTCATATACAAAATTTAGAAATAAAGCTATCTTGACAATCGCCATCAATAGACGACAACGCACTCACTATGTCGCCATGGGTGACTTCACTGCCAACGTCAGAAGTATTGATTTCCTTGCCCCAAAGCGATATACTCTGTTTACACACCCGGTTTTCGGATCGACAGCCTACAGGTGGAGTACCTGCAGATTTTTGGGTGCCTGCAGGTCATGCCTGAGGTTCCAAACCATGCTCAATAAATTTAATAAAATACTTAATTAGGTAGTGTGGTAGGGAGAGACCGTAGTATAAATGTACCGCTGCCGTACTAGCGTACCGGAGGCTCGTAGGCAGCATTAACAACAACTACACTAAACAATATTAAGGTGATATAAAGTTAATCAGAGTCATACTAGGTTTAAAAAGGCAAATTTTACAAGAATGTTTATTCAAACTGGTCTGTACAGCAAGCTTGACGTTCACACGTTGCACCTGCAGGTGGCCATCTGCCACGTGTCGATTCCGAACACTGTACACACACATACAAAGGGGTTGTTGATTAGGTTGCCAATGGGAGACTGGAACTGATTCCAAACATCTCCGAGGCCGAAATCCGAGATAAAAGCAAAGCCAATGGTTTGGCCAAGACCTTGGTCTGCGTACAAGCCACCTGGGTTTGCGTCTAGTGCATCGTTCGGTTCTTGCAGAGGCTGAAATTTAGTTTTTTGGATTCAGCATCTTCGCTCAGGCTCTTTATAGGCTTCTAATCTACCTAATATGGTAGGGTAAACCACAAGACATTGAGGTGCAAATTCTTCTTCACGACGATGTCCGAGGGGAACAGTCATTTTGGTCGGGGTTAGAGGGATCCGAAAAGACGAGCGTCAGCAACGTCTCATTGGCTCACCAGCATATTAACTTCTGTACATGTAAGATGATAAGGGAAAGGATTCGTTGCGCCACTCGCGGGGCCGATTCAGGGAAGAGCTTCTGCCTGCCTACACTCGGTTTTCTGATAAATGGTTTGCTCATGGCTTCTTTGAGACGAAGACTCGGGGTAGACAGGATCTTAAAACCAGTCTTATACCTTTCCAGAAACACAAGGCCCATCCATATCCATACATAGATTTAAGTAACAGCGAGCTAGCATGCTTTAAGCCAGCGAAGATGTTTGCAGTTACGGAGCTCGCCGGAGCTCGCCGAAGCTCGCCGAACTCTACTACCTGCTCATATCCACTAACCACTTACTGCCTAGGTCACTCCTTTGGATATAAACTCTCAGTTACGCTCCTTTTGCCATCAATTCAGTTCCTCATGGCCTTGGTGCTCCCAAAAGCTTCACAGAAGAACCAACTCGAACTTCAGTTAATCGTGAGCAACTCTCGGAAGTCAATATCTTTGTTGCAAGTCTCTGTCATGAAGGTATTCATATCATCACTTAGAACGTAGTTTTCCCTACTCACGCTTAAACATTGTTTTGGGAACTATCTAGCTCTAGTTTGGTCGTGTAGTATTTCATAACTATCTGAGTCGAGAACATTAGTGACGGAATTGTTCCGAAATATAAGATGATGGAATGATGGCTCAATATACCGTTTATGGTGTGTTTAACATATAGCTTACACGGCATTATTGAGACGTTTATCATTCTCTTTGTCCTCTTCGCAGGGCTAATGTTCTACATGTCTTGCCCGGTCTTCCTTGTCGAACACTTTATCACAATAGCACACCCCCAAATTCTGTCCTTCAAGTTCCGAAATTGTCTCAATACTTCCCGCACATTAGCCATTGGCTGAAAGAGATCGAGTTAAACCATGGTTTTCATTTAGAGCACCGGAGGATCGCGAAGCAGCTGGCTTGAATCCAGGGAAATGAGAGCAAAAATACAAATTACTCCCATCCAACTGTCCAGGTTTCGATTGGATCTTCGCCTATGCCTCAACACTTTTGCCTCCATAATGGGTCAGGCCAGAGCTGACACAACTGTCGTGCCAGCGTGATCTCCCGTATAATGCCTCTTCAACTTACGGTAGGCTGTGAATAGAAGAGAAACTTTGATCAATCTATTTTTTCCTTATTGCAACATCAATTATCTCTAGACATAGACTGCCTTTGCCACCCTCTCCTTTCGTAGCACCTCCCGCCTCTGGTTAACATCTATGGATGCCTTTCACCAGCCCTGCAGCCTAACCACGCCTTATCTTGCCATTCCCTTTCCAACCCCTAACAATCCACCTTCCCCAAATCCCTCGATCTCCGTTAGTTTGCCTCTCATCTCCGCCTTCCGCCTACCACTGGAAAAAGGATTTGATTCCGTGTCGCACACGACAACTGACGCCTGTGCTTTCCTAATCAGGATGCGACTAGTCCCAAAGAGGCGGGTCAACCCCAGGCAGCCACGATACTACGTAAGGCTGAGAGATTTTCGCGAACGATGGTGAGGCTGATGCTGAGACGGCTGCTTTGGATATAGCGAATAGGAACGATGCGTTTGGAAGAGGCTTTAGGCGGCCGGGAAGTTTCTTGTGTGGGAAGGCAAATTATTTTTAGGGGAGGTTGGTTGGGAGGATATAAGGTGCAATGGTGCGGCTGAGACAGGCGATCCATTTGTAGAGCCTCTTTTTTTCTCTTTCAGGAATTTTTTGAAGGAAATGTGGATTGTAGATTGGTCTATCTAGCCCGGATTCCATCGAGTTCCGTCGCTCGTATGCCTTGATGCCCAGTGTCCAACCTTGGTATGAGCGTTTCCCTAGCGAAAAGTGCAATTTAATACACTGTCAGAAACCAAGCCCGGAAAACCCTTCCAAAGAAATGAACAAGAACGCTATCACACTTTTCCAAACTCCAAAGATGCCGTCGTGTCCTCGTAAGCCAACTTGGTGGAGGACCTCCAAAAGAGAAATCCCAAATAAGTATTAACTGCAGAAATTGTGCAGGGGAGAGAAGAGAAAAGAAATCCAAATTGGGCGGCCACGTTTCAATGTCGGTTTTCCGAAGCGAGGAAGAAGATCGAATGGGAGCGGGTGTGCATGCAGGAAGCCAGCCGGCATGAAAAGAGGTTCGTGTTCGACGATCCGATTACGGTTCACCGGTCGGACAGGGGAATAATGCAATTTGGTGGCATCGTTGCATGGAGTCGCGCCGCTGGGGACGAAGCAGGATTGTTTAATAGTCTCTCAGGACGGCCCTCCGAACTGGCCTCGCCGCCCGATATGTTGGTGTCGCTGGCCCCGCCCCTCATGCCCCTCTCGCCCACGCCGCCCATTCGTTACGGTAAAGTTGGACGGTGGTCGAGTGAGATTGTGGTTCCCGCCTTTCAACTCCTTCAAATCCTGATCGTCAATCAGGCGCTTCTGCCACAAGTGCTGAAATAGGTGGAAGTCCGGGCGACTGGTCCGCAGGGTGTGACCAAGCAAGTGGTGGTATGCAACATGGTCCATCCTATAGTTCCAAGAGGTCCACCCATTGTCGCTGGTGTATTTGAAGTCCTCACACAGCGGACATTGCACTGACTTAGGAGGCTCTTCACCGCGGAAATGGCTTAAGCAGTGTACTCGCCACTCCTCTTGGTTGTGGGATATGTACGAGCAGCTCAGAAACCAGAACGAACACTCGAAGATGGGTTGTCTGAGCTGATTCGGCCGTCGTTCGAGCACACCGTTTACCTCCTCCAGCAAAGGTACGCCAGAGAAATGGCTGGCGAGCCCAGTACTGATAGACGTCTCAGTAGGCGTGGCCTCTGAGTAGTTATACAGCGAGGGCGGGTGGGTCGAGGCGTTCGAGTGTTGGTGCAGATAGGCGCGTGCCATGGAGGAGTTATTGCTGCGATGCGACCGTGGATACTGTGCGGGACTGGGACTGGTGGACAAGCCAGGCGCCGGGCCGTCAGGAGAAGAAGAAAAATGGACCAAGCGAGCGTGGATGTCTCGAGTGGGCGACGATAGCCATTCACTGATCTGGGACTGCGTGACGGAATTTTCGAGGATGCTGGACAGCGAACCTCCTCTGGCGGCGGGGTCCTCCACTGTGGCGCATGAAGTTATCAGCCTCACTTTCAGCCTTACGAAGGCAGACGTCTCTGGGCGAATCAAGCGTAACTCACTGTTATACACGGAGGCAAGTTTTCTTCACGCGTTGCTGTTCGCCGTCAATGGCATGGGAATGTTGTGGACGACGGCTCGAGGTCCGTGAGTAGAAGTTTCGTTTCGTCGTTCCGTTTCGGCTGGCTTCAAAGCCTCCTTCGCGCGTCGTTCGATGAGAATGACGCGACTCGATTTCCTTATCTACACGCCCGCTCCACCACCAGGGACACCCAGCATCCGCGGTCAGGATACATCATGATGCGGCTCTGCAAAAATCACGACCACCTATTCGACCAATTCGCTCAGTCATCTGGGAACAGTTCACTTCACAAGACGCCAGACCAGCATCATCGGACACGAGGCGACACCCGGACAACTCCAGCTTCGCTGTCTAGTCATTTTCACGAAATCTCAGGCTGGCCTCGTCGGGTCCCATTGGCTCCTGGAACCTGCAGATGACATCTCTTCGCTCAAGTATGGAGATGCGGGGTGGTGGAACCCACTCTTCCGGGAAGCGGCTTGGTGAAAGTGATCCTTATCACGGCATCGCCGACCGCTCTTCCACATAGTAAACTGGAAAGCTACTATGGGAATCTGTCGGTGTGGGAATCCCCTTCTTCCAGATTGAAACACGCCCCTAGTTGCTTTTTGCGTCACCCTCCACTGCAACCGTCCAGGTGTGCTTTACATTGCCAGCGCAGCAATGACAGGACCACTCAACGCACCTCTTAGTTCTTTTGGTGCGAAATGTTTGAAGGGTCGTGGAACGGGGCTGCGTACGACTTGCGTCAAGCCGCATCGGCAAAGTGCGGCTTTACCGCAACTGATGGCACCAACGCTCCCTTTCGTGAAGGTCAGTCAACCTGATCGCGACCAAGCTCAGTGGCAGCTTGTGAAGAAGACCTATCATCCCTGAACTTGTCCTCAGGTAATACCTAATTGCCTACCAGTTGTAGCGCTTCTGGTGATTCTACTTCACGCTTCGAACGGAACGTCATCAAACCCTTCTCATCCAGCGTTATTTAATCCGCTTCTGCTTGTGCATTCTACATTTTAAAATAATTAATGCAAACACTTCCGCACGTGCCAAGACGGAAAGCTAGCAACTTTCATCACCTTTTAGTTTTGGGGGCGGCATTCAAATATCATATAAAAAGGAGGCACAGGCGAAAAGGCAGTTTCCAAATTCTAAATTAGTTTTCTTTTGTTCAAATAAGGATTTTAAAGAAAAATTAAAACAAGATTGCTTTGCAAGATAGAATGCAAACATAACGTCAAGAAAACAAGCAGCGCGGCGCCCTGCTCCTAAAGTAAGTAAAAACTGAGGACCCTAGCAGAGGGTCCTTGAATAGAAATCACCCTAAAAGACATCATGTAGATAGAATGTCAAAGACAGAACCTATCAAAGAAACCAATCGCTAAAATTATAGGTCACCAAGGAACGAATTTGTGAAAGGAAAAGGTCGTTACATAATCAGTCTATTTAAAAAAATAAGTTATAAGGAAACTGGTCGGCAAAGTAATATGTCTTCAAAGAAATGGCTCGTCAAGGAAAGGGAAAGACGAACAAGTCTCCCCCTCATGACTTTCTTATCCGACCCCTGTCAATATAGGCATTCCAATAAACCAATTGTGATCACAACTACCGAACACCCTACCTACCGCGAAGAGGCCAACGACTGCCGGGGAAATGCTCAACCTTCTAAAAGGAAAATGATGCGTTAAAGTTACATGGTAGTAAGCCGGGTAGCTTGCTGTACGCAAGCACTGCTAAGCAGGCTAAAAAAATGATAGTGAGCGGAGTATTCTCTCCCTTTGTGCGATTCCAATGTTCCAAATGATCCGTGACGTTCCACATACTTTCATTCAATGACCAGTCCCACTACCCTGTGTCACTTCAAATTCTAGTCTTTGCTACTCAATATTGGCCTTTGTCATACTCGCAATGGACCCCTTCATGTTTCGCTCTGCTAATGTGGTTTTCTATGTGAGTATTTGGCAACGCTGGTGAGAATTTCTTTGATACATCTCTTGTGAGTGTGAAATAATGATCACAGACGTGCTTCAGTTGGCGTTGCTCTACGAGCCAAACCGAGCAATCTTCACATATAAGGAGATATACAGCTGGTGGAAGCAGAAGCTATGAGCGACGAGCGTTAGGTGCAAGGGGATCTACTGATGGAGGAGACACAAGAGAAGCATTGCAGGTTTGCATTGCCAGACGCACTATAGACGAGCTTTCGGATTGTGCAGGGTGCCGCACTGTTTCGGTCTTCCGACAAGATGGTATATCTGTGGAGGAGTAAGGGAGGAGTTCGCAGTCTTTGATATTAGGCGATGAAAAAGAGGGACGTCCGGGGTGGAAGTCGGTGAGGCGGGAAATGTTGTCATTGGAATCAAGGCTTAGAATCGAGATGCTGGCGGACAATATGACCTCTCCCGGAAATTCTGGAAATCCGAAATTATACCAGTCATGGAAAATTGGGTCTACCGACTATTCTTCATTCCTGCTAAGGACGTCGTCCCTCCAACCTTCTTGCGACAGCAGGGGTTGGGAAGAAGTACTTGGATGATTATTGTATTGCTCTTGGATCGCGTGGGTCTGGTTAAGCTTTGGGACTTGGGGGTTGATTAACCGGGATTTATAAGCAGGGCTATGGCAGGACTTCAACCTATATTTCGATGAACGGGACGTCGTCTGAAGTGGGATAAAGTAGATCTATGTCGACGGAAAGAGCGCCTTCCGCCTTAAGCACAACGCTGTGAGCAACGGTAGGAATGTGCAAGGCCTTGAGAAACCAAGGACAGAACGGCTTATAGGTGAGTTTGGGGCAAGGCTGAAACGGGACAGTGCTGATTAGTTCTCAGTAATGGGGCTCACTTGTGCTTACTGATTCATTTCTATCACCCGTATCCGTCCCAAAGATAGCTTTAAGGTAGGTATACGTAGAGAAGAAGACAAGGACTTGCTTTAATAACAAAGCAAAAACTAAATCTCAACGCGGTCCTCAGTCTCTCAGCCTGTAGTGAGGCCTTCCAGAGCTGCCCGCTCCTCACCTAAGCTCACAGAAACCTGAGAACACCCTTTCACTTGTATCCCCTGATTAGACTTGCTGTCTTCGCCAAGCTTGAGGTCATTATTGTGAGCGCATGGGTTCTGTTCCTGCACATACCTACTTATGTAATCAAGGTCCAGGAAGGCCGACTTGGAAGATTCATTCATACTTCGCTCCTCTGCCTACGCTCCGCGCAACCATGCGCATTATTCTGCAAATCTATCTTTAGTGTATAAATCTTCAAAAATCACGTACTCCGAACCAAGTTCAATTCGGACGTCGGACTATCAGAGGCCACCCCAATCTCGTTGAGCCGCATCCCAACGATGATTTGCAAGCGGAGGGTCGGGTCTTAGGCCGCATGCTCTAACTAAAGCCGTAGACGGGCCATATACATCCTTAAGACGAGCTTAGATAGGTGGTTAGAGAAAGCATTCGACTTTCAGTTCTAGTAACGTGGTCGACTTTGCCATAGTGTTTGCAGTTGCAGAGCTCTTAAAGCTCTAGTCACCTGACACTACTTTCACCCACTCCTGCCTAGGCTAGTGGTAGCCTTAGGTCACATGACAGGCTCACCTAGTACTACATAAACCCGTAGTTACCCTCCTTTAGCAATTAATCCAGTTCCTCATGCCTCTGGTGCTCGTCCTCCTAGCTTCACACATAAGGGGCCGCGTGAACCCAAGCTCTCAATATTTTCTCATTCCCTATATCATCGCTGATATCAGGAAAGCTAAGTTACCTCAAGGGAACAAAGTTTCTGGCATGACTTTCTCCAGATGCTTCATCCCACCAATTCTTCAAACCTATGGACAAAAGGAAATTGTTACGTTGCCAGGGGCCTTCCACCGCAGAAAAATGACAAGGGAGTGCACCAGTTTATGAAGAAAGAGGCACTCTTGAAAGATAGAAAACCCTAGACGCCATGAAGAAAGGGAGCCACATCTCCATGTTGCAGCTGTTTGATATCCTTGCCCTAACTGTGACTTTTTTATGCGGAATGAGTTCTAGTGCGGACTCTTCCATATGCATTGCTAAAGCAGCCTGTTCGCAATGTGAAGAAACAGATATATCATGTATGGTAACTCTAGACCCAGTACTGCTTACATCATCTTATTGTTTAATTAGAAAATCCTGGATGCGGGAATAGTCTGCAAGCAAGAATTTCCGAACGTAGAACAAAATCACAAAAACTTTCTGCGAAAAGCTATATAGAGAAAAGAGACGAGATCTAGATCTAGAAAGCTCAGCTCGGGGCCCCCTAAGTCCAGTCTGGACTAGGTTAGCCGTAGAATGCTAGATGAATGCTGATTCCAGGGCGTCGCCTGGATTCTTGAAGACAACCCAGCGAAGGGGTTGTTTACCCATTACTCTTCCCGAGAAAACGCATGCTGATAGGGCCTGGATGACGAGGCCGGAATAAATGACTGGGGGAAGTCTGTAGGAACTTTTGCTGTAGGTGGAGGAGTTTGTGGAAGTGTTGGCAGGGAAGGGTTGAAGTATTCCTTAGCCACCCTCAGAGGACCTAAAGGATGAAGAGGGGATTTGGTACTTTTACCTAGCTGTATTTCCTTCGGGTCGGGCTAAACGACTTAGGCTTTAGCTTGCGTAGAAAAGTGTGGACACTAAGCTATTCTCCTACCTTGGAGCCGGGGAAGAGGGTTATATCATCGCCCTCTCTGTCAAGATTCCAGGAGAAGCCGGTGGTAAGTAGTTGCAAACGCTGGTGCTGTCATCGTCAGGTGCACTTTGGTTAGCACTGGCAAGCGGTAGGTTGAGACTGACCCTTTGGATGATGAATGTGAAGCCTCATGCAGAGATAAGAATCGGATGCTTCATCTTACCCATATCTTCTCCTTTGGGACTGTTGGCGACAAACGCTACCCAGTCATCTCCCAAGTCATGAATACAACTTTCCTCCGTCGACTTCTCTCCTCTTTTCTATTTTTGGGCAAGGAAACCTACATCCCGCAGCGCCTCAGTAGACAAGAGTGAAACCGAAGGTTATGGTGGAGGTAACTATGCGAGTCTCGACCTTCTATCTCCCACTAGAGGAACTGGACGCACAGGACTTATTGATTGATTAGCATGGTCACTGGTGTGGGGAAGTGAGAGCAGCTTACCGGAGTTCTCGTGAATCTCCAAGTCTAGATCAGATCCATAAGACGGTATAGAATAATGAGCTTGGAGGTTGGTATTGGTCTCTGTCGCATGCCGAAACCGTCTGACGGCCTGGCTGGCACGAACACTCACAAGATCTGTCGCATTCGAAGGTACGATGTGACCACCATCTGTGGGCACACGAGGACGTTTGTCCTTTGGGGTCCCCCACACAATGGGGATGCAGCATGGTGCGCGTGCGGATTGGGACCAGATATTCCCTCGCTGCAGGTCTATGGAGGATCGCATCACGATTTCCCCTTTCGACCTATGAGCGTGTTGTATGTTCCTATTCTTTGAGTCATTACATGAAGGTGAGAATATATTCTTAGAGTGAATTACCTGGAGGAGAGGTGAGTGGATCAACAATGCAGGATGCACTCTCTGACTGCAACTGCGAATTGCGCTTTCGGCTCTTAGAGGCGGTAGGAGGTCAGAGCAGTCCTCAGATTCCAATTTGGCACCCAAAGGAATTGGATACTCTGATGGCTGTGACCCACGGACTAACCGCGAGTCGCCGATGCGAGGCATAGAGCCTATTGCGATAAGCATCGTGCGGGCTTTACGGACAGATTGACACCTACTTGATGACGGAACCCTCTTAGCCTCTGATGGCAGGGCACACCCTACATTGTGCTCGTCTGAGCCGCCATCTACATCTGGAGAGCTGAGGGATGACACCATGACGAATAACGGAGGATGCAAATCCGGGGACAATTCCATGGGCAAAGCAGCGAGCTTAAGGTGCAGTCTGCAGGGGACCAAGAGGGATTATATGGTGAGAGGAGGTTGTAGTGCGGTATAATAGAACGCAGGGAACCATTCTCTTATAAATTGATTGGGGGAATGATATTGACCTGTGCAGTTAGGCTATTCTAGGGCTCTGATACTGTGAGCCGTTTTCCCTCTGCAGCACGACTCCACACACAACCCTGGTCCTGCTAGCTAATCTTACTAAATCGATATGGATTCGGTGGTGAGGAGCTATCGATGTTGCGAAAATGAGAATACTTGCTAGCAATAAGCCCAATGATGGACTCTTCGTAAATGAGAAAATTGCGTCACAGATAAGAGAATGACGAATAGGTGCAATAGCGAGAATTTTGTCTTATATTGTTTACCCAAAATGCCACATGCGTCAAAACACTCAACTCCTAACGCTCAGAAAAGTTCGGAAGTCTTCCGAAGAAAAGATCTGACTCAGACGTTCGAACCGTTGCGGTCGCCTTCATTAGGTATCCAAGGGTAAAGGTCTTCGCCTTTCAAAGATTATGCACTATTGCCTGTTATTCTCTGTCATAAGTAATCAGCCTGACACGGCCGATGGGGAAGGGGTAACCTGTGAACATACAATAGCGACAGAGTAAGGTCACCCCTAATTGAAGCCTTGAGCTCAATTTCGACCTCCAAATTCGCTTCTAGCTTTAATTTTAATCCATCCTGCTCATCGAGTGCACTTTTTTGTTTCTTTTCGTCTACTCGGTAAGGCTGATTTGGATCGGTCCCACGCATTGGAATCTCGCCTCGCAATGCACGAGCCTTGGTAACCGGGCCGTCCATTGACGTGCTATCTGGTCCGATACGTTCAAATGCTTGCATTGAGTTCAGTTCATTGTTTGCATCGGCCTCCTCAAGGGCCTCCAGTGACGCTGTCTTCATGTATTTACCCTCCTCTATGCCTTTTTGGATGCGTCGTCGGCGGTCACGGCGGGATTGGGATCTAGAGCGTGCTGATTGGAGACCTGCTTCTCGTTTCTGTTGCTTCTTTGCATTCTCCATCTTCTTCTGTTGCATCGTCGTGCGAGCATGCGGTTCGGAGTCGGATTCAGACATGAATGAAGATTGTATAAGATAGCCGCAATGTGAGGAGTGGGACAGGTTGAGGATGTCGAGAGTGAGACTCGAGAAGTGATTTTGTAGAAAAGTGTGGAGGGCTGAACCAAGAAAGAGAAACAAGAAGATGAAGTGTGAAAAGAGAGAGGAGGTACAACCTGACCCAGGCTAACCAGTCCAAAAACAAGATTAATGCAGAGGTGGCTTGAAGCATATGCATGCCATACCCCTGCTCGTCCCTCCAGACAAGATCATCGATGCATGACGTCATTGTAAGACTGTGACAAGAGGACCCCAGGGGCTGCGAGGCTCCGCGAGCACGAGGCTGCGTCAATAACGGGACTAAAATCTGTTCTATAGTAAGGTATACTCTGGCAAGTATATCTCAATTCCCATGGTAGCGAAAGCGGGTCGATGGAACCGTTGGCAGAAAAGCGGAGGCTTGTGTGGTAACGGGGGGAGCATCCGAGCGCCCTCCCTGTACAGCTTGAGCACGGATATCACAATTTTGTGAGTCCATCCAGATTCGGATCGAGGAACAGAGGAATGGAGGCGTCAAGTCACGTAATTTTTTCTATGCACTATGCAAAAATGGTAGTAATTACATTGTGAGAGCCGTACACCGTCCCAAGATACTCCAACAAAATTACACAGGATCGAACATTGTCCCCCAAAAATAAAACATGTAGCTATGCAGACAACGTGGCAGTGATTCGTCGCAGCACATTTAGTTGCTGGTCAGAGTCAGCACAAGCATTTGACCAAAAAGATAGTTATGAAAAACTTACAGCAGTCCTAGAGTGAGGTCACCGTGGATCTTTGCCTTGAGCTGGATCTCGATGTCCAGGTTGAGCTCTAGTCTCAACCGGAGCTGCTCGCCCTTTGAATCCTCTTCTTCACCACTGCCCCCACCAGTCAGCCCTCCCAAAGCCTGTCCGGCAGTATTGCCGACTTGACCAACAGCATTCCCGGCGGTGTTTTGGACCATGTCGGTAGCACCACCAACAAGCTCTCCACCAGGGAGGTTCTCGCCAATGCCTTCTAGGGGTCCCCCCTTCCCACCTTGCTGCTTTCGCTGGCGCTGGCGGTTGCGTCGGCCACCACTCGCGGAAACATCAGATCGCGCAACTGATTCAGCGTCGGAGTCGGGAACGCCTCTTCGGCCTCGACCACGAGATTGGCGGCGCCTTGATTGCGATTTTTGGGGTTGAAGTTCGGGTTCAGAGTCGTCGGCGTTGCCGTTGGTCGTTTTTCTCTCTACAGACTCAACTTCAGCCTCTCCTTCACCTTCACTTTCGGGGGCGGGAGTGGGTTCGGGAGTGGGCTGTTGTTGAGGCTTCTTGTTGCCCAACTTCTTTGGGGTTTTCTTCTCGGTTTTCTTACTCGAACTCTCTGCGCTGCCCTTTCCGCCGAGCGACGCATTGGCATTAGCCTGTCCCTCTCCTGCGATAGATTGCTTCGTCTCCTCGACTGTGTCCGCCATGGTGTTTCCTGTAGCTCAGATGAATATAAAATTGGACGACGAAAAGTATTGTAGTTGTATGAAGAGGACGTAAGATGAAAGATGTTGAGGGAGGCTACGAGCAAAATGTTAAGAGAAATTTGACAGAGAACAGAACCGGTTTGGAAGGAGAGGTACTTGATACCCCTGTTCACACGAGCCACCCATATGCACTCTGACGCAATCAGTGGCACATCCAGTTGCACCCCACCAAAATTCCTGTGAGGCGTTAGCAAAACTTGTCCCTATCCTTGTGCACATCAATTGGCAGGATCATGGGCTGGGTTTACTTCGATCACGCGTCGCCTCCTGCCCAGCTTCGAAGCACCTGGCCAACTTTCACTTCAGCGTCGTAAGCGATCGTCACATCTGTGGCTTTTGACGTTCCATGGGACATGCCCACTTGAGACTGCCGCGCTTGCGATCAACAGATTAGGGCACTTAGATGATGTAAGTTGATATGCCCTAGCTCTTTCAGGGTTGTTTGACGTTTTGGCATGCGGACGATCGTGAGATGACAGGTTGCTTACACTAAAGGACGATCAGTGCACCTCCCGGGATTCATATCCAGGCCTACCATCTTGTAGAACATACTTTGGCAAGAATAACAGACCTGATTGGAAAAACCGTTTATGTATTAGTTTTGTTATAGTAAAAACGAAATGGTGAAGATTGAATGCAGGGGAAAAAAGTAGGCTAACATCTCCTGGGGAGGTCTGCATCCGTGCACGGGCCGCATATCTAGCTTCGAGCGGAGCTAACCAGATGTCGAGTCTTGACATTCACCGACACGCACAACTCTGGTCTACGTGCTCACACTACAGCATGGCAACTTCTGAGGCTCAAGAGGCAATAGCTCGAGAGCGGATAGTGAAGCACATGAATGGGGACCACCAGGACTCGGTAGGCTAGCGTCCTTCCCCCAGCAAATGAATTTGATAGGCGTTGAGTGTTTCTTAGATTCGTCGCTATATCGAACATGCCTCAGGAATTTCCTCATATCAACTTCGGGGCGATACCCAAATGGCCAACATTGCCCTCGACAAGATGGATCTAACCTTTGGCGATACCCAGATTGCCGTTCCATTTGATCCGCCCCTTAAGTCTCTCCGCGAAGCCCGCGAGCGTCTCATTCAAATGGACCAAAGCGCCCTCAAAGCCCTAGGCCGCAGCCAAATTAGTGTAACAAGATACATTCCGCCACATGTACACTTTTTCCATTTGGTCAATTTTAGTGTATGTATTTTGACCTATGCTGCCTTCTGCCGGCCCTCCAATTTCAAACCGGATTCGCTTCTTTACGACCACCTACTGTATAAGACCCCGGCGTTTGCTGCCTTCTGCTTAACGATCCAGCCAATCTTGCTCACCATCATGGCGGCAATTCATATGGTCGAGGCTGGATTGATGGTTAAGAAAATGGAGAAGCATTCTGTGCTGCCATTCTCGGGCGTTTGGTGGTGTTGGGTGTGTAGCTGCTTTGTGGAAGGTGTCACGAGTTTCAAAAGGTTGGATGAGCTGGTTGACAACAGGAAGAAGGAGAAAGAGGCCAAAAGCCATTGAACATATCTATCGAAGATGTTAACATGAGGGGTCAGTTAAAAGTGCCATTTGATTGGCAGGTTCCCCCTGCATGCACTACATCGAAGCATCTACGGGACATTGAACGGATGTGGGTACGTCTCTGTGACTCATTCTTGGAACTATGGAGAGTATCAATAGGATAGAGACCCCTATTATGAACCGGGCCCTGCCCAACTTTCTGTGTCCGCGCAATCTGTCAGGCTGTCTTTTTGATGGTTCCTACCTCCGTTCCTAAACTCGGGAGCACATTGATGGAATTGAATCTGTAGAACGAGGCGGCACAGCACGACACACAAAATCGAACAAAAAGAGACCACTCTAACCACTTGCTTAAGCTGGGGGATGTAAGATCCTTTGTCCTGAAATGGACCCTGGCCATGTTTTTGTCACAGGGATCGGCTCCGAGGTCGGGCGGTTATCGATAAGGAAATTTTAAGAGTCACGCAAGTCGAACACCTTTCTCCCTACATAATATACCGCGACTAGAATAGTCTGATTTTACGTCGCGTTTAGTCAAGGAAATGGCATTGCGACTCCCCTCTCGACGGCTAGTCGCAGCAGTGCGCATACCGCGCGTCAATTGGACTTCTTCGCGATACGCCTCCTCTGCCACCTCCGCCTCTTTAAAGGACTCCGGTCTCTTGCAGGATGTGAAGGACTCAATTGTAGTAGGTGTATTCCTCTGGTATGAATTGGGAAAGGATTGGTAACTGACTTCATACAGAGGAGCTCTTCTCTCCCAACTCCCGATCCTCCCTCTTCGTCGAAGACAGCCGGCCTCGTGAATTCGCAACTTCCATATATGGTCCCCACCTATGTCCGCCCACCGCCCATGTTCGAGAAAGGGAAGGGTTGCTATCTTTGGGATGTTGAGAATAGAAAATACTTAGATTTCACCGCTGGCATTGCTGTCAACGCGTTGGGCCATTGTGACGCAGGAATGGCTGAAGTGATTGCGGAGCAGGTATGCCCACTGTTTCACCGTACTACTACCACTCTTCTACAGGAATTCCGTGCTAATGCGAATCTGTGCAGGCTCAGCGCCTCGTTCACACTTCCAATCTGTACCACAATCCATACACCGGCCTCCTCTCGAAGCAGATAATCCAGCTCACACACGCTACAGGCGGCATGAGCACGGCAGCTCGGACATTCATCTGTAATAGCGGATCCGAGGCCAACGAAGCCGCCATAAAGTTTGCGCGCAAAGTGGGAAAGTCAGTGTCACCGGAGAAGCCAAAGTTCGAAATTGTATCCTTCCATAACTCTTTCCACGGCCGGACAATGGGGAGTTTGAGTGCCACACCAAATCCCAAATATCAAGCACCATTTGCACCGATGGTTCCCGGGTTTAGATATGGGACTTACAACGATATAGATGCCGTTAAGGACCTCGTGACAGAAGAAACATGTGGCGTTATTGTAGAACCTATTCAGGGCGAGGGTGGCGTCAATGTTGCAACTCCTGAGTTTCTTCTTGCGTTAAGGAAGCGATGCTCTGAAGTCAATGCTGTCCTCATTTTTGATGAGATCCAATGCGGTTTGGGCAGAACAGGAACCTTCTGGGCACACGCAGGCTACTCCAAGGAATGCCACCCAGACATATTGACAACAGCGAAGGCTCTTGGTAACGGATTCCCAATTGGTGCCACCATTGTCAACAACTTTGTGTGCAAGCACATCAAAATCGGGGACCACGGTACTACATTTGGAGGCAACCCGTTAGGGTCTCGCATAGCATCTTACATCCTCTCCCGATTATCTTCTCCAGAGATACTAGACGCAATACCTAGAAAGGAGCAGGCTTTCCGACAGCACTTCGCCACTCTCCAATATCGATTTCCTGACCAGATTGCTGAGGTTAGGGGCAAGGGATTGATCCTTGGGCTTCAATTGAACTCTGATCCAACACCGATTATCACTGCAGCTAGGGAGAGGGGCTTGCTAGTCATCACCTGTGGCACAAATACCTTGAGATTTGTGCCCCCGCTCGTAGTAACTGAAGCAGAGATTGAAGAGGGTATGGGTATATTAAGCGAAGCGATGGAGAGTGTTTGGAGCAAAGACGAGAAGATTGATGGCACTAAGGGACAGGAAGAGATATAGTAGAGGAACCTCATACCGGGATTGAAGATCCTTGCCCGGCGTTGTGGGTTTTTTAAGAAGATCTGGTACTTTTGGGAATAGAGAAAAGCTTCTTATTTCCACGTATCGTCTTCTCTATGTATATTAGATGCACATTCGTTTTCTTTCCTTTTGCCATTGCCAATCATTGCACGTGACATGTACTATTTGCCAAGACGCGCCTCAAGTGATCGCCGACCTCCGATGCGCCGTTGCCTCCAGCTTCACCTCGAAGTGTTCAGCAGTAGATTCCCTCACTATCGATGCCATCAGCCACATCTTTTCCAAGCCAGTGCCTACTTCATTCCGATCATGAGAGTTTTGCGCTATCATGAATGGTTGCAAACCTGGCACTTCAGCTCTACCAGGGCTTGAACATTCTAGCAAGAAACAAATGGAGACTCCCGCGGTACCACCACAATCAGGCCAAGCAGCCAATAGGTTCGAACATGAGGACTCCTCATCGGAGTCTCGGTACACATCGCAATCCGCGACTCCAGCAACCACCCCGATGACATCCCACTCCTCGTCTCAGTCTGACATAGACGCCAAACTAAAGGATCTCAAGAGATATATCGCTTTGGGGTGCCTCCATCTTGACAAGAAACTTCTAATTGAATCTGACCCTCGGATCTATGATTCTGACTGGATTGAGCTTGTTCCTCTGCATTTATCTGATGAGGCTAAGACAATTATCGGGAATGACACATTGAAGCTCCTCCAAGCGACATGGATCAGGCTTTTCATCAACTGTGCGAGTATAACTGCACTACCAGATTACTCTTTGCTGAGGATATATCTTCTGCCAAATGATAGAGGCCGTCGCTTTATCGATCGCCAAAGCAAAAGCTTGAAATCGGCGCTGCGAAATCTACTTCACCGGGTTGATGTTTCCTCAGAAGCTTGGAATGGTGTCTATGGAAGTCAAGTTGCTCGTTTTGATCCATGGGCCAGTCCTGAGAATGTATCCCTCTTCTATCTATTCAACATGCTTCCGTCCCCAGCCCCTTCGCCCCAGAAAATCAAAAGCAGATACACCAGGATCGCAGGGGAAGAATTACTTGAATCATGCTCCCAATTCCTACTCGATGGCTATGAAGACCAGCCCCTCTGTGGCCTAAAGACAAGGCTTTATCCTTATCAGGCAAGGTCTGCAGCTTTAATGATTCAACGAGAAGCAACTCCTGAACTTCGGCTCGACCCACGCCTGGAAGTCAGACATTCTCCGACTGGTGAGGAGTATTTCTTCGGGGCAAAAGATGGTTCCTTTCTTCAAGAGCCACGATACTATGAGACTAATCGCGGCGGAATATTAGCTGAGACCATGGTAAGTCAAATTTGGACAATCTCCCCTCCCATATAGAGCTAATGGTAGAAGGGACTGGGGAAAACCGTTATCTGTCTCGCAGTAATTCTGGCTACGAAAGGTCACGTTCCACAGATACCACCAGCATATCAACCAACCGTGCCTACCCGCCAACGTGTTGGTTCACTGTCAGAAATGGTTGCGAGTATCATAGGTCGGTACTCGATTCCTGGTCGAGCCCACCTGGAGCGCATGGAAGTTGAGGAAGGGATAGATCTGGGCAATTGCAAAACTATGCTAGACCAGAACATTCATTACGAAATTCCAGCGGAACACCCTCGTATGAACCGCACTACCAGGATACCGCCGCCACGCAAGCTAGTCCTTTGCAGTGGCACGCTGATCGTGGTTCCTCGAAACTTATTGCATCAGTGGCAAGGAGAAATACGCAAACATGTTTGCAAAGGAAGTCTTAAAATTCTTATTATGGATTCCAAACCAAAAAGGAACACAAAAAAGAAAAATCTGCTCAACGGCGACGAGGATATGGAACCACGGAGTGAACTGCCTTCGACCACCGACTTGATGAAGTACGACATTATCATTTTCACCCGAAACCGCTTTGAACAAGAAATCCAAGACGGAGCAGATGAGGTCGGGCGCCGGCTCGCGTCCGGTGCGCCCTTGGAATGCCAGTGCCCCTATATTGGTGCATCACGAGTTCGCGATTGTCGTTGCCTGACGGAGAGCGGAATATACGAATCTGCGTTGAAGAAGCTGCATTGGTTACGAATAATTATTGACGAAGGTCACAATTTCTCCTCTGGGGTTTCGAATGCCGTCCTTATTGCCAAACAAATTCGAGCTGAGAGGCGCTGGGTTGTCTCTGGAACACCTGCAAAAGATTTGGTTGGGGTCGAGGTGGATATGTCCACTTTGGACACTCAAAATGATGAAGGCAACGAGCCATCGTTGGTTAGGAATTTGGCTATTGAACAGAGGAAGAATTTCAGCATCAAGGAAGACAAGACCGGAGCAGCAAAGGCGTTGGGCTCGCTCGCGTCAAACTTCCTCATGGTCCGCCCTTGGTGTGACTCGACCGCAGAAGGGAAACTCGACTGGGATGACTATATATATCGCCATGAGGACCACCATCGAAAAACTTACTCGGGATTCTCCACCAGTTTCCTCAGAACATTAGAGGGATTGGTTGTCAAGACTAGACCTGAGGACGTTGAGAGAGATATAAAACTTCCACCAATGACCCACCGAGTAGTGTACCTCAAGCCTTGCTGGTTTGACAAGATGACAGCGAATCTTTTTATTCAAGTTCTACGAGCGAACGCTATTACGAGCGAACGATCCGATGTCGATTATCTTTTTCACAAGAACAGCTTGAAAGCGCGACACTCTCTGATCCGGAACTTGCGTCAGTCCAACTTCGTTTGGACAGGTTTCAGTTTGGACGATGTAGCAAGCACGCTTGAGACCAGCAGCAACTATCTTGGGAAGGAGGATAATAATTGTTCCCTAGAGGATGCAAAACTCCTCCTACAAAGTAGCCAAATCGTCTCAAACCTTCTCAATTCCCCAGAATGGATTGCGCTCAGCAAAGCCCATGAAGTCGGCCTCGCTATCGAGAATTGGCCACAAAACTCGGAAATGTCTTTTGCGTTAGCTTATCCAAATAAGCCAGCAATGATTGGCATCACCCAGCTGCTCGAGGGACAGGCCTATGTGGACAGCCAGATTTTATCTGAAGACCCATCTGAAGGGTTGAAAGCGGTTGGGGAAGAGGCAAAGGCAAAACTCGTTGCAATTGAAGAAGCAGAGAGAGCGCGAGTGGAGAAAATTCAAAAACATGAGGAGTCTGAGCATACGCGCTTGATGGCTGGGGTGCCATCGTCTTGTGTCGGCGGTCAACCATTGACATCTCGCAAAACCGCCGCCACAACTTTCAATGCGTCACCAAAGAAACCCAAACAGCCCATCGCCAATCCAAATCCATCAGACACACTCGATACACCCGCGCAAGCGGAAGCAATCGCAGCTCCCGCATCGCCCATCCAAGCAAAGAAGAAACGAAGACTAACATTAGCAGACGAGATGGCGGACCTTCCCCCAGACTCCCCTCTACTCAACACCCGGGTTATCGGGACAACATCGGCAAAGCTTTCCTATCTTATAGAAGCAATCGTCACCCACCAATCTATTTCCAAGATCTTGATATTCTATGACGGTGATAACACGGCTTTCTATTTGGCGCAATGTATGGAAATGCTCTATGTAGGGCATCGTATCTATGCGAAATCGTTGGGTAACGAAGTAAGGTCACAATATGTGGCGCTCTTCAACGAAGACCCAGAGATCCGCGTTTTGCTCATTGATGTGGCGTGCGGTGCTTTAGGTTTGAACCTCAATGCCGCCAATCTGGTCTACATCGTCAACCCGATCAACCGACCTCATATTGAAGCCCAGGCAATCAAGAGAGGTGAGTTTTCACTCACATATCCTGACAGACCTGGTCTCTTACTAATCCTCCTAATAGCCCATCGCATTGGGCAGACTAAAGAGGTTGTTGTAGAGACACTAGTCCTTAAAGGAACGATAGAAGAAGCCATATTCACTCGAGCGAAAAAGATGTCGCGAGACGAGCATCTTGAGGCAAAAACATTGGAGGATGACAACAAGATCATCGATATCATCCAGAACGCCAAAGTCATCACCATAGATCCCGGCGAATCTTGCGGGGTGGCTCAGTTCGCTGCCCTAAATACACCACAGCAAGTGTTTGGCCGCCCTGGTCGACATAAATATCAGAAGTTTGGCAACACTGACGCAAAGGGCTCAGAGAAGTCGAGAAAACGTCAGCGCGTTACACAGAATGACTCGATACAGAATAGGGAAAACGAAGGCGCAAGCTTAACTGCTCCACCAGGCGCCGCAACATCTCACTTGCAGCTCCCTATTCTTACTCCACATGTACCAGCACCGTCTCTAGATACAAATCTTCAGACCCCTTTTCAGAGTTTATTTGGTAACCCATTAGACAAACTTTCCTCCACTTAATGAGTGTACTAGCGATCAATACCTGGCGTTCCTGCACGGGTTGGTCTATTGGAAAGGCTGATTTGCAGCTTATTTTGAAGCTGAATTGTCGTATCCCTTGGCGTAACTCTTAGATTGCCAAATTCAAACATGTATACTAGACTCTCAAAAACGTGCCTCGTCTGGTCCCCATGCAGTGTTCCTACAATGCAGGCGTTCTTTTGTGCGGGACGCCGAGCACACCCTGTGAATTGGGCCTGAATCCCAATCCCGGAAATTCGGCCTCGACAGGGTGGAAAATAAATGCGATGAGTTCAGGAAAGAACGATGGGAATATCAAGATTGCATTTGCTCTTCGTGGTGGAAATGAGTGGTTAGCTAACGAAAGAGCGGAGATCGGATGCCATCACAGTCAGTAATTAAGCTTTTCACGTGGCGTCTCGCGTACCCGTTTTTCTCGCTTGACGCACGGCCTCACCTGGCGCACGGATTTCAGCCAATATCCTCACATAGATTTAAAGCTCTAGAGCTCACTATAATTTAAATTATTGCAAGATTTTGTAGAGTAACAGGCAATAGAGTATAGCAAATAAAACTACGTCATTATCTAGTCGCGATACCTAGTAGGAAGGCTGATCTGTCGCCCTTAGCGATTTATTAGCTAGGGGGCAGTGATAACCTCTACAACTAATTCCTTATTACTACTATTATCCTAAGGACTAAGAGAATGCTGTTTGCTTCTTTTTTTAGCCTGTTTAGCATATTAGATGTCTTTTTAGAGCTGCGCAGCTGCTAATCTAGCTTGCTTGTTGTCCTCCTTCTTCTGCTGCTTCTAAGCCTGCTCTTAGAGTTAGATTTCCTTTGCAGTAGCCTTTATGCGCTGTCTCTTTTCTATAACTTGCTCCTTCTTTGCTTTCTCTGTAGTTTTGCGCTTAGCATTTTTTTTTTTTAAGTCTCTTTACTTTTACTACTTCTGCTTTTTTTGTTTCTTGCTTATAAGCTTGCTAGACCTTGTTTAAGCTCTAAAAGATTACTCTACTATTTAAATTAAAAAAAAGTTTAAGCTAAAAAGCTTTACTCTTTTACTAACACTTTTTTTTATTAACTAGTGCTTTTTTAAGGCTGTAAACCTTTAGTTTTAAGAGGATGTTTTGCGTAGATAGCAAGTAGATTGTTTGTAAAAGCTGCTAAGCCTTAGAGTTATATATGTTATTAATAACTAATCTTAAAAGCTTAGCAATCTTCCTTTAATCTTTAGCTATAAGCACTAACTTTAAGCTCTTACTAAAGGAAAGTCTTTTAGCCTTAGGGTTATTAAATTAGTCTAGAATAACATTAGGCTTAAAGGGATAAAGACTGCAGGTTTTAAACCCTAAGAGAACATTCTTAGCAGTAAAAGCTCTCTTCTATGCTGCCTAAAACATGTAGAAGAAATCCCTCTTAGTAATAGCAGAGAAAGCTTAAGATTCTTCTATAAACTATGCTATCTTATAAGTATAAGCTTGTAAAAGAGGCCTAAACAAGCAGATGTTAAGCAGCTAAAGTATATAAGTACTATAAGAAAGATAGATAGCTAGAAGGATCTTGTTATTATTACAGTACTTAATAAACTTTATATTTATATAGGATCTATGTTTATTAAGAATAAAAAGTTAGTATCTCTGCTACGCCTTTAGTTTAGTCTTTTTATTAAAAATTGTCTTAAGCTATTAAAGCCTAAGGTTGTTGTTAGTCTATTTACTTAGAAATAAAGTAAAGAAAGCTTTATGTATTTTAGAATTAAAGTTCTAAAGCTATAAGTCTTAAATATTACTTATAACTGCCTAGTAGATAAGGCCTAGAGAGAGAGAGGATTTGTTAGCGCATATATAAGCAATTGTTGTTATCTACTCACAGTTGCTGTTCTAAACTATCTGCTTAATCCCACCCTTTTTATACTTCTGCTAGAAGAAGATCTGCTTTATCTTTAAAAGCACTCTAATTAAGAAGCCCTTTTTATCTATATTATACATGTTTTTTAGCTAGATATTGTATTATTTAATCTTATGCTTTAGGAGATTAAAATATAGTGCGTATTTAAAGGCAGAATTAGCTCTCTTTCTCTTCTTGTTAATGCTAGTAGTCTACTTTAATACTAGGTTAACTTAGTAATGCTTAAGGAACTAGTCTAGCTATAAGCTCCCTACCTGTTTACTGCTTATTTTAGTAGTAAAGTTGCGTAGTATGTTCCTTATAAGGGGTAGCCTTTACTTACATAGTCTTTTAATGTATTCTAAGAGCTCTCTCTTCTAATAGTTGTTTAAAAGTTATTAATTCTTATATTACTCTACATAGGAGCCTTAGACCCTGCGCTACCTTTGTAACAGTGTTAATTATTTAACACTATATTTTTTTATAACTTAAGTAATATTAACTTTTTCTCTAAACTCTAGGGATTCTAACGCTGCAAGCGCTTCTAAAATCAGGTCTATATTAGTGGAGTTAGTATTATGTGACAATTTTAGTGTTCCTGAGCAAAGTGTGCGCCAGGTGAGCCCGTGCGTCAAGCGAGAAAAACGGGTACCCGAATCTGGAACATCTGCTTGGCTTCCTCATCCTCGGCCATCTGCCACTACTCTCGTGCTATACTGCTGAGAGCACGCGGGTGCAATAAGGCCGGTGAAACAGGTTAACCTTGAACTTAGAATTGGATGTGCAAGGCTGCTACAAGTAAGATTGCGCACACGACAGCACTCCCTTTGCGGTGTTAGAGCCTTCCGCCCGGGTCCCTGTCCTCAGTGCAGTCTACGTAAGCCACCCCGGCATCTCGGGAGGGATGCTCAGGGTAATTATTGATGCCGCGCTTGCATATCGGCGTCGTCATGTTCTATTCTCCTTAGCCTAGTTGGGCCTAAGCCCCAGTCTCACATCCATTTCACAAACATGTCTTCCCGCCAGTCTCACCCCTCGTTTCCTTTGGTCCAAAACATATCCTCCGACTTTTATGTACTGGGGTTCCTCTATCTAGCGCAATTCGCCCCTTATTTGTAGCGTTAAATTTGTAGAGTTATCCCTCGTCTTTCCTTCCTTTCCCATAGTCCTCCTACCACACATATTTACGTAGGGACTGAAGTCGTAGCGCAAGTACAGTGGAATCTGCCTCAGCAATGAGGTTTCTTACAAGATTGCATGTTGTGATAGTGGTGGCTATCACCGGTGTTCTGTACCTCACCTGGATGCTACCATCGTCACATATCTCAACCCGGATTCAGAAAGTATGGGAAGGCTCTTCGCATCGACTTGTGGTATTCGGTGATGATTGGTCCGACAACAGCGAATATCGTATCTCCCCACCTCCCAAATCCACAACCCAAAATAGGGACCCTGATCGAGGTGAAATATGGACTGAGGTCGTTTGCAGAGAAGTGAATATGCCTTCTATTCCCCCCGAGTGGAGTGTGTTCTGACTCAGGAACAGTTGGCCTGCGATTTCATAGACAACTTTGCCCGCTCGAAGCCTACAAACTTGAATATGCCTACCGTTGGCTCGGTGGTTAGTAGTGACATCTACGCTAATGCGACGACCGAAACGAATCGCCAGACGCTCGCTTTGTTCGACTTCGAGGCCCAAGTACAACAGTTTATAAACTTCGAAAAGCAGAAACTTCTCATACCAGGACGCTTCCGCAAGACTGAGTCGACTGTATTTACCGTTTTCTTCGGCATCTGGGATCTCTTGGAGTACTCTACGTTGGACAAGGCAGAAGCAATCTATGCAATCGACCGCAGTATTGAAGAACTTTTCCATAACCTCAATTTGCTTCGCGACCACATTAACGAATCAATCAAGGTCGTCATTCCCAAGGTTGTGGACGTCACATTCCTACCGCGTTTCCAAATGAGGAAGAACGAGTCGACGAACGACTTCGCGCAGGATCAGCACCAATCCATATTCCTCTGGACGTACTGGAATACGGCGTTGTCTCAGACCGCTGTGGCATGGAGCGGAGGCGATATCTTTATGCCGGACTTGAACGGAATTGTGATGAACCAGGTGCGAGCGAAACAGCTCTATTCGAAGCACATATCCGACGCGTTCGGGTTCGGCAAACAGACGCCGCTCTTCGATGAAGTCGAACGGCCTTGTTTAACCCCGAAGACGGAAAACGATCCCGTGCACACTGCCGACATAGAGAAGTGCTTCGAGCCAGTTCGCTACTTATTCTGGTAAGTCAGTCACAGCTACGAACGAATTGTCTTATCTTAACTATAAAATAGGGACGATATCCATGTCAGCGGCCCTGCGCACAAGCTAATCGGAGTAGAGGCCGCTCGCTTGGTGCGCCGTAACAGTACTATCAATGTGGACGCTCGGGATCCTGCAGATAATGGTTCAGGTACGAGTCAGAAAGACGGCAAGAAAGGCACTGCAGATTTCGAATTGAAATTTCCTCCTGGATATTAATAGGACGTCCTAGAAGACATCGTTTAGAACTAGGCTAGATTCTTCCCTGGACAGCAGCCCGTCACGTCCGCCAAGGAGGCTGCATCCCAGTGCGATCCACGGTATCGTGTTCCCCGAAACGACTCCGCAGCCTGTTTGTGATCATAATAGCATTATCGGCTCCTTGCATAGCAGTGTGCTGGAATGTCTCTGTGGCATGGCTAGCTTGGTCGCTCTGGGAGATCGTCCGAGAACAAAGAAAACGTACCAACCATCAAGGTTCCTGCATTACCTGGAACAGTCATATTACTTGACTGCCTGCAGGTAGCAATGAAAGCACAATGGCGACGAGGGAATACGCTTAATAGCAACAAAGAATCTGTCGGTTTGTGGATATCCTTCGTACGCTTCCGTTCCTTCCTATTCATGGGACAATGAAAGTCGCCCTTAAAGAATCTCAATAAATCAGCAGCCATCATATCCACTCAAAATGTTCCCCAGTCAAATGCTGCGGCCGCCCGTCCTTCGCTCTGCTCCCCCTGTTGCGACATTTTTCAACATCCCTAGCAGGTACATCAAATCAATTATGCAAGTCGGCGATGATGCTTCTGCATCTAACATTGAGGACCCAAAGGCTACTAGTCAACTACGTAAGAGTAAAAGGGTTCAACAGTCCCGGAATACCTCTTTACCCGCTGCAGTGCGACGCACGAAAGAACCCGGAGCCCTCTCATCCAGCTCAGAATTGCCTCTGCACACTACTCAGAAGAGAGCAGCACCTCTTAATGATCAGATAAATGGAAGGGAAGAAGAGTGTGAGGTAGACAGTCATATTGAAACCACGGCATCTTACAATGCTTCATCTACGGACTCAAGAGACTTGTCAGGACATGTTTGTCTCTGCCAACTGGAACCCAAAATCCCTCGCCCAAGGAATGGTATGTCCGATTTCTTCTTTATCCTTAAACGCGACTTAGTATATCCGAGCTTCTTGCTCGAGAGTAGACAAAGGAGCCATTCTTTGTTTGCGGACATGCTTTCGATCAGCCGCTGATCCTTTGTAGCATTTATTCTTTATCGTCAGCACCACCAGCATGCTATCGTCGCCCGCAATCCTGGACTCGCAAATCCTGAAATTTCCAAGATTATCGGTGAGCAGTGGAAAGCCGAGAACGAGGATCAGAAGAAAGTTTGGCAAGATCTTGCTCAGGTATGGCGCATCTTTTTCTCGACAGCAATTCCCTGAGTTCCTTCTAACACCATGTCCAGGAAGAAAAGGCAAGGCACCACGAACAGTACCCTAATTATCGCTACCAGCCTCGCCGCCTTGGAAAGCCTAGCCCCTTACCACTGAATTCTTCTGGTCAACACACAGCCGTCGATAAGTACCGCTGCCGTCGTTGTAGTGGTCGAAGTATCAAGACTCCAACGAGCCCATTCCTCTCGTCTGGTAGCACCCCAACTTTGCCTCCCCTCACGTCCGGCGATATTGCTCCAACGCCTTGTTTCATGCCAAGCATGAGTAACCTCAGTCTGGAATCACCCGCTCACTACCGTCGTCGCCCTAACCCGTCGAATTTTAGCAATACTCAGGTGCCCTTAACTCCTTCAGAGACGGCAATATACAATCCTATATCTCCAGACTTAAAGAGACGTCGTCACAACCACTCTACTTCCAGCAATGGTCGCAGAGTTGAAGACGTCCACTTCAGCAGCACCCGTTGTGATTCACTTCATCCAATCAGTCATCAGGCGCGACAGTCCTCCCCAAATACAGTGGCAATGCCGCCTCCATGCACCCCCCGTAAACGCTCGGTTGACCTCAACGTGCTCGTCCCAAATCAACACGACCAGAGCCGAAGCGTTGAAGCAATGGTCATGAGTGTTCCTTATGCTACTAAAATCAAAGTTCTCGGTCGCATCACGCCCCCGCTCAAAGACCCCGGCCCAACTAGCCCCGCCATCCGAGTGCGTGGCGCGATCCTTGCCGTTGAAGGGGACGATATAACAGCCATTAAGGAGCTTGTTGAGTGGCTTAAAGAGTTCCTCGCCAAGGACCAGGAATACAGTCCGCGAATCGCCGAGCCACCCAAAAATCCCAGCGATGATCAAAAAGAGGTCATCTACGAAGAATACTTGGATCTAGTCAAAGAATGGCATGCGAAGAGTAGGGAGATGATTCAATTCATCACTACGCCTGTCTCGTCGGAGTCCAATAAAGACTCTCAGACTCCTAGCCGAGATACCTCGATAAAACCTGTAGTCATTCTTCCAACATACCAGCTTAGAGCCTCGGATACGTACACGTCACGCATTCCGATCCAAGATGCATATAGCCCGACGGATCACTGGCAGTGGATGGCTACGCTCTGGCGTGGTACTGTCGGCCCGGACTTGACGATCTATGTTCAGAGCAGTGAGTCGAAGGAGACGCCACCGAAAGGGAAGTTGGTTGAGCTGAACGAAGAAGTGAGGTGCTTGACCGTGAAAAAGGATAAAATGTCTCCGTTTGAGGAAGGAGCGCTTCGAAGGGTGGGGTTCGAGGTTAGTGAGTGGATTCGCGGTATTGGTTCGAAGTCTGGTTAAGACAATCCGAAATAGTTGTTTTTAAGGGAGATTTCTCAATGATAAGAAGACGGGCGATGTTGTGCCTAGCGCAAAGCTTTCATTAAGGGGATCTTGGGGCAGAGGATGGACTTTTGGGCTTATATAATATTGACAACAGCTGGCTGCTAGCAGTATATAGTTGGCGATATCTGGGATTTGGGCGAGCATCTAGGGCATGTAGAAGTGAATATGATTTTCGAATCCTATTTACTGTGCCTTACCGCTGACTGTGCTCCCTTGCTTCAGGAAACCGTTTGCTGACCGGGCGGTCGGAATCATCCCAGTCCAGTGGAATGGAGCACGAAGGGGAAACCATAAAGCATTAATGTATCAGCAGCCTTTATGGCACTGGCTGCATCTCTCCACCCTCTATTTTGAGAGCACTTTGCCTTGGCGAAAGCAGCGACCAAGGGTAAATGTGGCTAGTGCGTCACCAGGTGTGGCTCAGCCGCAAGCGAATAAAACCGAGTGCGGATGGTTGTCATCGCCTTTCACATGGCTAGCAGAACCCGTCACATGCCAGAACCCCGGCGTCCAGCGTCTAACTCGGAGCACGTCTCCGGATCGTGTCGTCGCCATTATGGACTACGGCTGACTTCTTCTGTCTCTTTTCCTCTTTGCTATCCCTCCTGTGTGCTGTGCCCTGCAATCAAACCTCTTAATGCCGCAGCTAGCTTGCGGATCCCCGACGGTCGACTCACGTTGGACTCACGTACGGAAGCCTCGAGTCTTGAGGCAAACGCTTTCAAGGTTCATTTGTGAATATGATTGGTATGGATAAACATATTCACTTTGCGAAACCGCACACTAATCAACAATGGTAGATCATGTCCTGGGCAGACCCTCTGTCCAGTTCCGCAAGATACAAGTGCTTGCCGTAGTATCCTTTTGGTCCTTCTACCTCTACAGGTGCGCTCATACCACGTCCATAGAGATATTTTCAAGCACTAACACCTGCGAAGAGGTGACCGCCATGGCCCACCCATTATCCGTCGCATATCCGCTCTCCTCTCCAAGAAACTCACCACTTGGCAATCGCTCGTCATAACCCTCCTCTACCTCTATGCCGCCCGAAACTTTGGCAAGCTCATCGGCCTCGAATGCCCCGAGCCCCTCTCAAACCTCTACTCGCGCTCCTACTTTCGCGCAACATGGGTTACGACAGCGCTAGACGCGGGCTTCTGGTCTGCTATGCACATACGCCGCAAAGGACTGCGGGATTTCTGTTCGCTGGTGTTTAGCATCTACTATATGATATGCGCGGAACAGGCGGATGAGAAAGCTAGGAAGATCCGAGGCACATTGACCGTGGACCATCTGCGCGTTAGCTGGAACAAGGGCACGACGCCATATTTAGCGGCTTTGACGACATTGATGAGGCCACGACTGATGGTTTACCCACCGCGCAAGATTAGGATACCAAGGCCAAAGGAGAGCTCTTATAAGGAGCCGGTGCAGGGATGGTTGTATTTTAATGGCCCGCTCTCGGCCTTGAAGAAGCATGACAAGGTTGTGTTGGATATCCCAGGAGGGGGTTTCGTGGCCATGGATCCGAGGAACCACGATGACAAGCTTATGGGGTGGGCTGGGAAGTCAGGGCTCCCAGTTTTAAGCCTCGACTATAAGAAGGCACCCGAGTTTCCGTATCCGTATGCATTGAACGAGTGCTACGACGTCTACCATACGATCGTGGCGACGCGGGGTCGATGTATGGGGCTCTCGGGGGAACTGGAACCTAAAATTGTTGTCTCGGGGGATTCTGCCGGGGGAAATCTCGCAGTCGGCATGGTCCTGATGATTCTTCAATCCGGGTCGACAGAAACACGGCAGTGGCAGGGTGAACGCGAGCTTCCACCTCCAGTCGGTGTTATTCTAATCTATCCTGCGTTGGATATGAACATCGGGAACTGGATGACGGATGAACAAATGGCGTTGATTCGCGACCGAAGAGTGCGTAAGACCAACCGCCTAATTCTACGGCGGAAGAGTGATGATTACCGCCATCTTGCCCCAAATACACCCGGTGTATCTGATGACGAGAGCGATGAAGACCGCCCGACTGCGCTCCCGAATCCTGGTTCTCCGGCGCCAACGCCTACAAGCTCGAAAGTCCTACTCAGATCCCCTCAAACGATGATCCGACTCTCAGCTGCTCATACTGGCATAGACAGTCAGTCGGGCTTGTCTCCGGCGAACACTAACCTTAAGCGATCAACCACAGACGCTACGGTCCAAAAACCAGACCCTTCAACGCCAGGAATTACTCCTATCCCAAAAAACCTAGGAACAGGCACGCAGCCCCTAACCCCGGCGCCCCCGGCTCATGCTCTCAGAACTCGCCTGGCAATGTCGAGTATGATATCCTACTTCAACGATCGCATTCTCACCCCCGAAATGATGCGCGCCATGATCATCCTCTACATTGGCCCACATAACCGCCCGGATTTCAGTACCGACTTCCTTCTCTCGCCTCTCCTCGCCCCGGAATCCCTTCTCGCAAAGTTTCCACGGACATGGATGCTTACAGGTGAGCGTGATCCCCTCGTTGACGACACTGCCATTTTCGCCGGACGATTAAGACAAGCGAAACGGGCAGAGTGGATTTTTGGTAAAGAGATGGGGCTATATTGGGCGCGCGGCGACTTCCAAGAAGAAGATTGGGTGAACGTCGACCTCATACCAGGTATCAGTCATGGCTTCCTGCAATTCGTAAGTGTGTTTCCTGAGGGTTGGAAATACATCCTGCGTTGCAGTAAATGGATGACCGAAGCCTTTGAATGGGCGGAGCGGTCAGAGGAGTTCCGCCAAGAGGCGATGAATGGTACTCTGGACACATCGACGACGGGGGGACCCATTAGACATAGAACAGCGCGGGAGGGTAGTGATTATTTTGGCTCCGGTGCAACGCTAGGCCTCGCCGAAGCCGTCAACGACCTGAGCAATGGCCGGCGACGACATCACAAGCGTTCCGAAACCGCATCCTCTGCAGAAGAAGACCGGCCTCTTGAAATGACAGTCGTCCGCAACTCTGGCGTTTCCAGAGGGAAGGGAAAACCATTGTCGCCGACACTCGACGCCACGTTCTTCCCAAAGGTCGCCCAACGTCCCACGCCGAATGGGAATGGCGGGCTGAACGGAAGGGGGAAGGGGAAGGGAAAGCGAGGCAGTAAGGACGGTAGAAGGAAGAGCCTTGTCAGTTTGGCGAGTGAAGATGATTTGTTAGGACGGAGGATGAAGGGGTTAGCGGGGGGGTTGATGGGGGTAGGGAGGGTGGAGGAGAATGGGTTGTAGAAAGAAGCAGGCGCTTTTATGGATTGGGATGTGAAGCGCCAGCTTTTAGAAAACCAAGATGTTGTGTATACGTGTGGGAAAGATTCGGCCCCGATATGGTGGAAGCATCGAACCGTGGTACTGCTGGTTGAATATATAGCAGTGGTGAATGCATGTAGAATACCACCCGAAGACATTTACGTACATCTGAAGACACTAACCCCTGTCCTTTCTGGCCGCACGCAATTTAGAATGACGTAATTGAATTGTTAATCTCGCTTCCCCTACAAGGACAGAGATGGTTGTGCTTTCCGCGTGATCTGGATTGGGCCTAGCGCCTACTTTCCACCTCTCGACAGCAACACCCCAAAGCTGAACTATGAAGACTCTATCACTCTCCATTGGCGTACCGATACGCAAAGGTCACATCGCAAATTGAATCTCGGATGCTACCTAGCACTTGGATTCCTGTATGGCCTTACCACAGTCTCCCACGTTGCTTTTTGAACTACCTTCCAGCAGGAATTCCGATCCTCGTCCCATCGCTTCGAGCCAGTCTCTTCATATCTGGCATCTCCAAGTCTCCGGATCGATATCATCAATGTTTCGCAAGAATGGAATATTGCTCCGCGCCCCTGCAGACGGGATCGCGCATGTACTACTTCGATCCGCGTAACTTTCTGCCATTGCTTTTTCAAAAGTCCAATTTTAAAAAAAAAACTCCTCGGTCTCCTTTCTTGACTCTCTTATCACTTCTCTTCTCGAACTCATTGAAACCTAACACCTAGGTTCAAGCCATTGGCATTCTTCACTTTTCCTTGCGATGGAGCTCCGATTGATGCGTTAATCAGAAAGCCCCGGACACACTCTTCAGAGCGGACGGAGCGTGTTCCCATATCAATAGAACGATCCAGATCGCATGCGTGCACCTCTTCTCCTCCTTAGCTAACGATACTTTTCCTCACCTTCGCCGAATTTCCTGGGCTCCCCTTTGATTCTTTACGTAAGGTGTCTTTAAATACCACTCTGGTCTCTCATCACACCAACCACCCTTCCAATAAGTGCGACCGAACTTCATTCCTTGCTCGACCGAGATCCCGATTAGACCTCCCCGATGTGTTATATTCTTTACACGCTTCATAAGTGCAATCACTGGGTCGCACAACCCCAGCCAGGAAACGGACCGGTGCTGAGGATCTGCTCTGATGCGGAGACACTACGGCTTGGTAGGCCGTGCCCGGAAACGGAACATCGGGTTGAGAATAGGAGTCAGGGCTTGTGTGATGGATGTATGTGGAAGGGGATTACAAAATGATGTTAAGGAGCAGGAGCACGAGAGGAAACTAAGACCATCTATGTCGAAACGAAGAAGAATTCCGAATGAAATCTTGGATGGGTGGAGCTTATGGAAGTTAGAGGAAGAGAACTAGTTGGAAGTTTGCTCCATCGCTATCATTGAGAAGACTATAATGGAAAATGTTCCGGGAGGATGGACAGGTCCCGGGCCGATCCCGCGCTCGCTTCATGCACGCTGAGCGACATACCGCTTCACAAACGCCACGCGGGCTTCCTCTCCACTCGCTGCCGTCGACGAAGCCGCAATTATCTCCGCCTTGTACACCCGATGATATATGGCAAGCTTAGCTCTTGCTATCACGACCTTCTATTTTAACGGCTACTTCCAATAGAGCAAACGGGTTTTGATCGACAGGCTAAAAGGCATCCTTTTATGTCCGCTGAATCTTGCGACATGCTTGATGCTTCATATATCACACCTCGACAACGGTCAGATTCGATCGGCATTGATTCACACTCACGGAAAGAGAAGAACCATCTAGTCTTTCTCGCAGGCCGAATATACAGAATAGCGAAATGGGCGTTGATCTTTTTGGGATTAGACAATTTCAGCCATGCAATACTTGCAACGTCCTGAACAACTGGCGTGAATGCCATGGTCTTCGAACATTCGAAAAGATTGACCTTAAGACTCCTTTTCACTTCCTGGTCCCGATGACCCTATCTTATCGAACTTGCGCTGGAAGTCCCTGAAGATTCTTCGTAGTCAAGAGTGGTTCTCATGAGGGTCGGTAGTGCAGGAAGCGGCCTTCGCTTACGAAGGGCATGTTCTCTGGGGCGACGTGGACTTAGTTGGCGAGATTATATGGTGCAATATTACTGGTTGGAACGGTGCGCACGACACTGCAGTATAGCGTTTAATATCAAGTATCACCCTGAGACCTCCAAAACTTACACATTCTGGATTGAGCGCAAAGCAAAGCTGTTTTAGCCAGAAAATTCTTGGCTTTTGTCTGGAATTCTCCATAATCGTAACTTGGCTAGTTCTTTCAATTTCATAGATCTACGTTGGGATCTATACTTTTCCAGAGTTTCCGGTTGATCTGATGGAAACGAAAGTCCACCTACATCTAAACTGAGAAATATTTTCTTTACATAGTCTTTGCCAAGGAATGTATTCGAACTAGCCGGAACCTTGACTCACTCCACTGCCTTGAACACACTGAGGAGTCTCTCAATAGACACTTCGCATTTTGGGTCCCTTGGGCGAACATTGATATTGTCCGCGAGGTCGTAAATGATCCTGCCTGCCTCGCTTGATGCCGGGAGACTCGATGAGGGTGATCTCGGGAAAGATAGGTTCGATGGGCTTATATTCAGCTCGATTGCACTAGCTCCTCCCCAGAGTGCAAGCTATACCACAGAAGATACGTCTACAAAACAAAAGGTCAAAAAGGTATTGCGACTAAGCCTGCTGTTAGTATGAGAGCTCTTACTATATCTACTCTGCGAACGCTAGCATGTGTTGAGCCTCCTAACCATGGTTCACGTCTCTCAGCAAAGAGACCGGCTGTTCATCTCTAATACCACGTGCTCCAGTCGAGTACCGCGTTACGAATCCGACGTGCTAAACTGCCATTGGACGACAAGGGCAATCATTGCCAATATATGGCAGACCTTGCCCAGATATAAACCGAGGCACTTTATCCACCAACCTTATAGCTACATGTAGCGTGCCCAATAGGCCGTACTACGGACAGTACTGAGTACGCTGTACAGTTAATTTGAGCTGTACGTGCTTACAGCAATCTTCTGTTAGTGCGTACAATAGCTATTGCTCTAAGTACTGTCTGTAGTACAGCATACAGTTACCCTTTTAGGATAGTTTATAAGGCTTAATCTAGCATTTTAAAAAGTAGGCACTAGAGCTGCTTTAAAAGGCTAATGAGTAGAAAATCTTATGTGTAACACTAATTTAGCTGCTATTAGAAGACTTCGCGTACCTATCTAAATAACATAGCTTATTAAAATTAAAACAATGCTTATTACTAACTACTTTTTATTATAAAATTACTTATTTTTATACTTTACAGCTTTATAGGCCTTATTAAGTTAATTTAATATTACTATTAACTATTTAAAAATACTATTTTTATAAAAACTTAAAACTTTATTAGTTAAAATTATATAAATCTATTAAGTTTAGCTATTAAATGTAAGGCCGCTAGGCTAGTCCTTACAAAAGAATGATAATGCATTGTAAGGCCGACAGCGGCTTGTACGGCGGTCCTTACGCGCGACAGGTATATATACTATTCTGTACGCAGATTGACTGTTGGTTGATTATTCGCACCTTTTTAATTGTATTGGCGCAGTGATACAGAGCTCTGTCCTTACATTGCTGCTCTTTAAGGTAGAGATTTGCTACTGCTTATATACATACAACTTTCTTATTCTGTGACTTACTGCATTTAACTATGCCTTGCTGCATCTAGCTAATTGTTCTTTATCTATTCTAGTCTAATATAGCTGCAAGCAGCTAAGGTTAAGCCTAATTATAACATACATACTCTAATCTTTAGAAGAATTACTTATTACTACATAGAGATTCTCTATAGTAGTAGCTTACTAAAGGTAAATTAAGCTATTTTATTTTTTATAACGTTAAGATTACTTTCATTTTTCTTACTATCCTAGCTATAAGCTATAAGTGTAAGAGGTGTTTAAGTGCTGCTAGCTGTACTATAACTAATAATTATAGCTATCTATTAGAGGTAATAATTAAAGCTACACAGCTACAAAAGCACTAGATTAAACACTAAATAGTAAGGAGCAAGCTTTTAGCTCTAGCTGCTTATATTACTAAGGAAAATATTACTAAGGAAAATATTACTAAGTGTCCGTACGCAGCAGCAGCGTCACAGTCTGGATACGAGCGATCGCGCACGAGCAGGACCACGTATCTCTGTCACATGATGCTCGTGCGCGAACCTCTGTGCGCGAACATCTAGATATCCCCCTTTTCCTCTGTACAGAGGAAAGACAAGAGTAATAGAACTAGAAACATGTTGCCCTTACTCTACCTACCTTATACACTGTGCACACTGTACACTACTCTTACTTTTGCTACTTAAGTGCTTATACTATAAGCAGCTAGCTATTAGAGCCTATTTAACACTAATTAGTAGTTAATTTAATTAACTATAAATTAGTAAAAGTAATAATAAAGTACTTACACTTTATAAAGTACTTTATTTTATTACTTATTTCTTAAGAAAAGTAACAGCAGAGTACTTATACTTTATAAAGTACTTTATTTAGTTACTTATCTTTTAGAATAGCAGATTAATTCTTTACATTATATAGCAAGCTCTGCTACTATATAAAGTAAAAAGAAGATAGTGTAAAACACACACTAAAGCTACTAAAGCTGCACAACCTAGCAGCTAGACAATAGCACATTAATCCTTTACATTACACAGCAAGCTCTGCTACTGTACAAAGTAAGAAGGAGATAGTGTAAGGCGCATACTAAAGCTATTAAAGCTGCATAACTTAGTAGCTAGACAACAGCAGTACCTGCGCAATTTACTAGAAAAATAATTAACTATACTATTATAATAAAATTCTATTAGCAACTAATAACTTTGTGTAATAATAAAAAAAATAAAGAACAATTTCTATTATATAAATAACTTATAAAGAACATAGGGATATTAAAGGCAACACTACAGAACAAGACTAGCCTAAAGTACTAGAATAATAAGATTAACATGTTAGAAGCTTTAACAAGCTTATAGACTTAATTATATATAAGCTATATAATTACTAATTTACATATAATAACTTAGAAGGGCGCTACTTTTCTAAGTGCGTATATAAAAGATTTTAAAAGATAAATACTATAAGACTTCTTAGCACTTAGCTACATGTTTAAAAAAGAGCTTATATAAGTGCTAGAGGACAAAGGAATCACACTATAGCTAGGCACTAAAGGTACCTAAGCCTAGAAGCTGTATAATATAGCATAAAGAAAGGTAATTGCACTAAAAAAGCTTTATATGTAACCTTTATTACTATATAAAGCTCTGCACAGAAGCAGACTAAACATAATGCTGCTATTAACACTAAACATACTAGCATTACCTGCTTCTACACTTTAGCTAGCACTACACTAATTACTGTACAAACAATACATGCTACCCTACCTAACGCCTGCTCCACACCCTTAATTGTACACACCACCGCCTGCAGTAGTGTATGCACCACTAATACCACCTGCACAATCTATACTACATTACAACCTGTATAAACTTCCACCCTAGAGGGAAACTGCTAAAGAAAAACTCCTAGTAAATAAAATTATATAATTTTAAAAGGCATAAAAAAAGAATAATAACTACATAAGTTAACTATATAACATTTTTATAAATAAAATAAGGATCTTTATTAATCTATGTTAATAGCTAAATATTTAGAAAACTTAGTACACAGACATCTTTCTAGATATCCTAAAAGGTTAGGCAAATATGTACTATATGCATAACATAGGCCCTAGACATAACTAGAAGCATTTATATAACACTTTAAGTAGTTACTTTAACACTAATGTAAACTATAGCTAGTACTAGACAAACTAGACAATAATAACCTTTACATAATGCTAATAAAAGAACTTTAATAAGAGTTTATATAAAGTCTTTAAAATAATAATTAATAAGCTTACGCTTATATAAAGGGCACTAAGAATAGAATTCTAAGAAGATGTTCTACTGCACACTACTGTTATATAAGCCTGTTAAGGACAACTAAAACTAGAACATGCTATGTTTACTATTAAGCCTTTATGCAAAGCTTTATTTAGTAACTTATAGGCATTACTTTAAGTTACTATAAACTAAAGGGTAAACTAATACTTCTAGGAACTACCTAATGCATACTACACAGACTGCTAATATAACTCTACATAATAAAAGTTTGCACAACAAAAAGAAAGCTTCTCTTTATGTAAAAAAGAATAACATAAAAAATCTCTATCTAAGTTTAGGCCACAATCTAGAGATAACTGCATATAGATAAAGAAGTGCTTTGTCTACTATAAAGAAAGATGTTAGTTATTAAACTACTCTTATAATAACTATACATAAGCAAAGAACTAGTACATTGCCTTATATAAAGATTTTTATAATAAGACCTTATTATATAAAGCTATTACCTTATACATCTAAGACTTTAAAAGTTACTTTAAAAAAAAAATAATTTACATAATATAAAAGAAATAAAATAAAAGAGTAAGAATACTAAAAAAGCTATTAACTACCTTACCTCTACTACTTATCTACACTGTGTAACAAAAGAGGACATCTACAGCATTAAACCTAAAGAATATGCTAAGCAGTTTATTCTTAATAACTAATACTATACAGTATACTAAGGCAAACTATAGAACATAGGCGCAGTAAAGATCTTTACTATTAGTAAGTTTTAACTTAAGGCATACATATAAGAAAACTTATATATAAAAATTAATTAGATACCTAGCTAAATAAATATTAGCTTTAAAGGCTAGACACTAAAGGGATTAATTAGTACTATACAAATCTAGAACCTAATTAGTCTAGTTACATACTATATTCTAAAGACTCTAACACTATTTCTGCTATTACTAGTAGATGCTAACTAACTTAGGGCATACTTTAATAACATTTTAAATGTTATTATATGTAAAGATAAAACTACTGTCTTTATTATATAAAAATAAAGACACTTTTTTTTTAATGTTAGTAAAAAAGAATTTATGTCTTTCTTTACTAAATTAGAACTCTACTGCCTCTACTACTAATTTAGACACCCCTGCATAGAAAGACTCTAGAAGATGCTAACTAGCGCTAGCCACAACATTAATGCTGCAGTGCTAGAAGAGATTAAGAAGTTCTGCTACCTCTACTAATTATATAACTAGGCCTTATAAAGATTTAAGTTTATAATTAAAAATAA